CCTGATGTTTGTCTCCCATCAGGCCATGCATGGCTGCCTATTTAGGTCACGGAGCAGCAGTAGACAGACCCTCAGCACAGCAGCCGTCCTCTGAGACATCCCCACGGTACAGGCTGTACACACTTATCGGAGGACTACTGCTTCTGGAAGTACTTTATTATTATTATTTATTATTATTTTATTTACGCTATGATTTGCCTCACTTTTTCTTTAATAAGTGCATTTTATGACCATTTTGTATTAATGACTTTATTATAGCTTTTGTCCTCGTCCCGTATTAATTTTACTTTGGAAAAGAGATGTGGTCCCAAATAAGTTTAATAAAATAGAAAAGGCACATTTCTATGACTATGTCTGACTCAGAAGAATATAAGACATGGGAATGTGGAGACAAACGTGTATGTTTTTACAGCACAATCCCCAAATAATTACCCAATTAACTCCTAATACCACTAAATTACTCTAAAACATGAGACATATGATTCTTCAAAAAACACTAGCGTCGAGTTACAGTGCAAATGACGGCTATTACAGCGTGTCAGCTAGCTGCAGGCTTAGCGCCTGGATAAGGAACTCCTGTCTGCGATGGAGGGAGTTAGTGGAATTGCTCCAACATGCATGGACACGAGAAGAATAACCCCACCTTTGGAAAACCTCCTGCATTCAGAGAGGCATTCACACTGAAGACAACGCCCCATGTCTCCAATTGTTAGTCTGATTGTGTGTTCTGTGGACAATTCAACGTGTATTAGGGTCTGTAATACAATATCCCTCCTAAATAATGTAGACTTCCTGGAAAATAGGGACGCAGAAATCTAATTAAAACATAGTCCCTTCTTGTCATTTTCTCATACTATGTGTAGCTTGTTTCTCAGTAAATGTTCTTTAATGGAGCCCAGGATAGCAGTTGAAGACCCATCACACTGACATCGATTACAGGCCGTCCCTCCTGACCAAACTGTTTGGTTGGCAGTTCCAATTACATCGGAGTTTGTGCAGAAACAGCACATTTTCTGGTCTCATTCTGTTCCACAGCGGCAGCCAGCGGTGATAAACACCACCGTGGAGCGTTCTGGAAAATCCTAGATCACAACAGACCACAGAGAGCGCGGCAGATATGGATGGACTTCATGCAACTGCTTCATTAAGAGCGTTTGACTTCCATGATTACTGACAGTCCAGGGACCCAATACTGTTATCAGAGGAAGTGAGCTCCTAATGGCGAGGCCCAGAGGATGAAAGCGTTCATGTGTTGTGGGCTGTCCCAGGAGCAGCTTCCTTTGCGGTTGCATGGATCCTATTAACTAATAAGGGCAAAAGCAGACTGCTTTTATCATTCACATCTGTCTGACAAAGAGGCCTCTCTACACACTGTGTATCAGAGTCAGTATATCAAGTCAGTGTAGACACTCCAAGCAATTTTACTTTTTTACATGCAGTTATGGATTTCCTTAAGGAACTTGCAAATTCAGCGTTTCTTCTGCTGCCAGTACTGTTCATAAATAGGTTTCCTCTGCTAACCATTGTGCCACATTTAACCACTTGTAGCCATGGATACTAAAAGCGGCGAGTGGATTTGTTGAAGTTTGTGTTCACAGCATTGGATTCATAGCTGCTCCTACAGCTAAGTGGTATTTAAAAGCAACTCCCAACAGCTTATTACATAAGATCTGACATTCTGCTGATTAATCAATTCAGCTTGAAGTGCCCTGCTTCAGCAGATGTTACACAACCTCAAGAGATTCTCTTTGTCATTTAGCTGAATACTTCTGGTGCTTATCCTAACGTTATTGCTACCTTGTGGCGGTAATAGAGGAGCCTAAATGTTCCCTCAGTTTAGTCCGAGCTGAGCTAAGCACTGCTAATGATGCTGAAGATGAGATCGCACAGAACAACTGCAGGCTAGTCATCAACTGCACACACCAATACACATACAGAAAAACCACAGCTGTCAACAGAAAACTAAACCCAGATCCAGATCTAATTTAAGAACCAACCTTAATGCAATCAAGAGGAAAGAGATGAGATGACTGTCAAACAAATACAAACTCCCAGACAACACAACAAAGAAGAATGAGGGAAGTGCATGCCAAACCGCAGCTGACTGCATTACTCAGCACAGAGGGAAAAGGGATTGAACGCAGCAGCAGTGGACTTCCCAAATTCTGACAGAAGCAACAAGAAACCCCACCCAACAAACTACGCTCATTCTTTTAAGCTGTGTGTTTTTGGGTTAGGATGATGTAACGCAGCAGATTACAAGATCTGAAGCAGCAGCACGCCACTTCCATGACTTCAGCCAGGGACAAAAGTCACACTGACAGTCATTCGGTTGGACAGCGTCAACGTTAGCTTAAACACACACGGCAGGAAACTGTTTTACAACCAACCAACTGCCACACACTAAATACAACGTAATCCACTGTGATGACGAAGGTACCTATAGTAACAAAGATCATTTCTAAACACATATTAGCTCACTACCCTTCTGGTGTCCAATCGCCTTTGATGCTGTTTTGCTGTGTTACTACCTGGTAATGACAGGTTTACATCTGCAGTGCCTTACACAGTCAGAGATTAAAGGTGGGCCATTATGGTGGAATGATCTAAGTGCAGTAAATCGATCTTCAAATAGGAACAAACCACTGTTCTCAGAATCACTGCACTCACGGGCCAACCTGCAGGTACTCCCACATTGTAGTGTTATCAGTCATAAAAGTTGATATAAGTATTAGTAAGACCAAAAAACATGTTTTGATGGTACCATTAACCTTTAAGATGGTTGGGGGACACTAGTTTGTGCTTAACTCCAATAGCTCAGCCATTAGCTATTTAAATGTGATGTAATACTTCATAATGGCGGTTGTTTGGCTACTTATCAAAAGGACATCTCATTATTTGTTTTCACAAGTGTTCAGCCTCTTTCAGAGCACACTAAGTTTCCTTTAATATGAATTTATGAGGTGAAAAGTTTCCCTTATGCAACGCTCAGAATAGAGACAAAATAAGAGGTTCCTGATTCACTGTTTAGACTTTAGGAGGACGAGAGCATGACAAACCTGCCATAACAAGAGCTGTCTGTTTGAGCACTGATGTCACATAATTACTGACAGCACCTTGAAAACATGAGGTCATTGCAGGACTTGCATCACACTCAAAGACGCTGGGATGTCTCTGCATAAGTATATTTGACTAGATGATCACAATATCAGATATCAGAAGAGTGAACAACTACTCTTTGCTGTTCTTCGTCAGTCAGTTTGACACTCTCTAAAAGCTTTCAGTCTCACTCAGGCGTACGGATCGCATTACTGACTGACACTCAAGGGCAGGCAGAGAGAGGCAGTGCTTTTCAAGTGGTAAAGGTGGTAAGACCACAGAATCAACATGACTGAATCTTTGGAACCGCAAGGCTCTGAATACTAACACTATGGTATGTTTTTCTATTAGTTACAGTCTAGGATATAACATAAAAGATTTAAAAAGATTTATTTTATGAACGACCAACAAGAAAGAAAAGTAATTACATCAGCAGGTTAAGCAGGCATCCGATCTTTGTGAATTCTACACTTTTCATTTAAAGGGGCTAAATTATGCAAATGTTCAGGTTCATATTTGTATTTTGTGCCTCTACTGTGACATGTTAACATTATTTAATGTTGAAAAAGCTCTTTATGTTTCTCATACTTCCTGTGCTGCAGCACCTCTTTTCACCCTCTGTCTGAAACCAGAGCCCAGTCTGCTCTGATTGGTTAGCTGGCCGGCTCTGTTGTGATTGGTCAACCGCTTATTGATGTCCTACCCCTTAGCCTATCACGTACAATGTGTAAGAGTGCTGGCCAAAAGAAACGCAAGAGTTACAGTATATAGTGATGTCACTATGTCACGGAAGGAACAAAGGAGTCTAATGGAGGCGTTTCAGGCTGGGAGGGGGGAGGAGTGTGTGGGAGAGAAACTCCCTCTGGCATAACAGGAATGTTCCTCTGGTTACCTTGGAGATGTAAACTTGAAAATCCCATCCAGATTGTATTTGTCCAACAAAATAAAATGTTGGTGTGGGATGGAAACAAAGAGAAAAACAATAATACAAAGCGATGTAGGTGGACTTAATTCTGACTCTGATGCGTAATATTTGAACTACAAAGGTGGGTGTTATTTTATAAATCTGTTTCTTGACTTTGGACAGATCCTTTTAACTCAAATAATAATAATAATAATAATAAGGCTTATATTGTGTTGAATAAGAGTCTGGTCCCAGTTATGCTGATATTTAGAAAGATCTGGAAATGAACGTTGTGTGTGTGTCTTACCAGGCAGGGTATTGTGAACAGGTGTGGCGATGTTAATGTCCTGCAGGTGCTCCAGGGTCTCGGTGTGGAAGAGGCGCAGAGTGGAGCCGGAGCTGGAGGCGATCCAGATGCCGACCCCGGCTACCACCATGTGGGACACCACCATGCCCTCCTCCTGGTGGGCCTCCAGCTGCCTCTGGAGGTGGGAGAAAGGATTTAGGCATTACGTCATTACTTACTTAATTCAGAATATAACCAAGTGAAATCTGAGACTTGTAAGGATTTTTCACAGATGTGCTAAAACTACAACAAAAATAAAAAGACCTTTAAAAAGTTTCATTTGAATGCTGTTCAATATTCTGTGACTCAGGTTAATTACCTTGTTACCAATAATTAGCTATATAGCAATCAAACTGAGCTTAGCATTTCTTTTCACCCCAAAAATATTTGCTTGGTTGCTTGTGCAATATAAGATATTCAATCTAAGGTTCTTTTTTATGTATTTTTTACCTCTGGCGGCTGTTTGTTTTGTGTGGCAGGTTGCTGTCGGGCTGTTTAAGTTTGAGTGAAAGCTAAGGTTAGAAAAAGACCCTTGTGTTTGCTGTATGTGACCTAAAACTAACTATTTCAAAAGCAACCGAACCAGGGTTTGTTCAGTCTCAAGCAGCCCGTGCATTGTCTGGGATTGTAATGTCTGGGATCCTGTGATTATACTTCACCATCGAAAATGTGTTTCTGCCAAATGCACCTAATATGTTGGTTTATGGATGATGTTGATTATTCAGAATATAAATCATTTCTCTTTAACTCTTCATTTATCTCTTTTTTACAAGTGCGAACAAGATTAGTTTTAAATATGTACTGTGAGTAAGGTTAGGGTTTTTTGTTGCTGGAGACCAATAAACTGAGCTTTTTCCATCTCCACTGGTTACATAATCTCCCCACACATTGCTTTACATGTAGGTGGAGTTTTATTTGGCAAAGGAGACCATTAGCAAGTGTCAGAACAGGGTTATAAACGTAATACATGTGGTTATGAAGGAGCATGAGATGTAAATGTAACTTCCTTGATTTGTTTTGCACACATTAATACTTATATTGCATTTACCTTTGATGAATTATTTGATGATTTATTTATGACTTAATTGTCTCATTTATTTGTATCCATCTCACCATCCGTCTCTGTCTCTCTGTCTCTGTTTAACTTCCTGTCACCACTCTGGACTAACTCCTCAGTTAGGAAAAGAGAGCGAGGCAGGCAGGTGGTCCGACATAATGATCTTAACGAGGCTAAACAGATTATTAGTGAGTGCATGTCACAGGAACGGTGCTATTCCTGTACTCATGGCAGGTGCTTTCATTCCATGAACCAGGCCAGAACGCACACAGGGAATACCAATTATATTTAAGGATATGGAAAGAATAATTCCCGGGAAGGGAAATGTGGGACGTTCAACAGCTAGAGGCAGACCGCAGTTTACACAGACTGCTTCTTGGGAGATCTCCCTGACAAAGAATACTTTATATCCGCACTCAAAATGTTACACGTCTTCACTTTCCAACAGTTATACAAAGGTTTATTTATAACACACACGATGATGTGCTCTGTATGGAAGCCCTGAGAGGCAAGTGAGAAGAAAAAGTCTGATCTAAATCGTTTTCTCTCCTGTGTATGAATTAAGAAAACTTTCAAAAGATTCAAGCTGTGAAACAAATGAGTGAAACACATTTTTTTGTATCTTTTATCTAGTATATCTTTAATTACTTGTTTTAGAAAGAAAGACAAGCGGGGAAAAATGTTTGAGAATATTGTTGATCAAATATTTTTCTAATCTAGAAGCAAAGACAAATTATTTTGCCTTTTTTCACCTGTTTTTTTTTTTTTTAACAGTATCAGAGCTAGGTTTCTTACCTCTATGGAGTGTGTGAGGGTGCTGATGATGAAGACCTGTCCACCTGATGAAGCCCAGAGGTGCTCCTCCACTGCCAGCATGGCCTTCACTGGCAGGATTCCCAGTTTCAGCACCTTAGGCTTCTCATGGCTCCACAAACCATCTGTAACAAACACAAAACTGGCATTACTATTACATTACATGACAAACAATTAGCATTTTACAAAACATTCTTACCAAAAAATGCACTTTATATGCAAACATTATAGCATTATTTATTACATTCTCTTTTGCTATGTTAACCTCCAGCGATGTTTATGTAAAAGATGAATGGATTATACTGTTAAAGGAAGACACAATGATAGACACTCTGTCTTTAGAAGTGTGGACTGAAAAGGTCATTTGCATTTATGACTCTGCTAAAGCTGGTGGAGTGGCCATTGATGGGTTTTAAAGCCTTCACTATGAATATAGATGGAGTGCTAGGCATTAGTCAGAGCCGAGCTCTATCCCACACACACCTCCTACACACTCCGTTCTACATGTGTCCGGGCACCTACAGTGCCAGCTCAACTGCAAGAAAACACCACATGCAGTGCCTTTATACATATCAACACATTACATCTCTGTGTGACCAGTCTATCTTCTGGTTTCGAGTCAGCAAATGGGAGGAAATGTAAGTTTGTTGGACAGAAAGAAGGTCTATATTCGTTTCATTTTATATACAGATATGGGAATGTACCGAAGCCACAAGCTGCCTTTCTTAAAAAATATAAAAAGATATCCACCAAAGCACCATTTTCAGAGATGAAGTCACATTTTTTTAAACAATTGACAAATCCCCATTAACGTGTGGTTGATTCATTAACACAGGAGTGAAAACAATGTTGATGAGACTTTGAAAAAGGATCTCCACAATCTGTCTTTCTCTGGGACTCCGGATAATTTAAACCAGTAAAACTGGCATGCACCTTTTACTAGAAGGGCTTGTATTGAATACAGCCTTCATTTCCTTCAGATACCACATTCCCTCAGCTAATCTAGGCCAGGAAGTGAACGAGGCCTCACCAATGGTGTTTGTCAAGCGGAGGCACAAAGGCAGCTATTGAAGGCTGAGGTGCCATGCAGGGAGAGATGTTCTTTCTTTCAGGGGTACAGTAATGAGTGAGGAAGTGAGGGTAATCTCCCACTATGGGGCTAGGTGGGATTAGCATTCCAGCAATGCCCTGTGTATATTTTTTTAACAATCATACTCTGCAGGTAGATAGAAAAAAAGGAGCAGTGGAAAAAGAAATACAGGAGTGCCAATTTTCAGTCTTATGTAAGTCTGCCCACACCTCGCACTTTTTCAACTGCAGCATTCTTTCATGTCAGGTGTAACAAATGACCTTTAACAGCGCAAACAGCAGCACAAACCAAGCAGCTAATTTGTCTTACTCTTTCAAATCTGAAGCAGAAAACTAATCTCTCAATGAGGATAAGTAGGAAGATGCAGGATGGAAGAATGTGCAAGAGCAGAGTTTATGTTCTGAGTATCTGCCTCTGACGTGCAACCTTTTGTCGAATCATTGCCTCCTTCTTTCTCCATCTCTCACACAGTCAGTCACAAAATGTAACAGCGAGCGTGGCAGAATGAGGCTGCCCGGCCGGCATCAGACACACAGTATCTAAGATAACTCAGCACTGATGGCTTCAACAACAAGGCAACATCCGTCTTGTATTGAATGCATCGTCACAATTCAATGTGAGGGTTCATCAGCAGTGTAACATCAAAGCACATAAGCGGATAATTTTTTTCCAACTCTTTTCTCTGCAATGAATCTAATTTCAATGCTAATGGGTTACAGGCAGAGGGTTACACAGAGTATTTGAACATCGTTACAATGGGGATGCAGGGTACAGCTATCCTATTCTAACCGGCTGTGACTCATCATTTAAGCATCAGGCTTCATGTTCCAGTGACAGATGCCTCACAAATCACAATCACAAGATCTAGGGCCAGGATTTTCTTCTAGGATGTTCTTTGACACAACAGCATACTCCGTGCCAGTGTAATGACTGGAGAGTAGAGGGGGTCAATAAGGTAACGTGTGCATCAAAACACGGAGTAATGAGAAGCTTTGAACATTCCTGAACGGTTGCATACACGCAGTTTGTTTCTGCCTGGCAAACCGTCACTCAACTGTGGAATAAATGAGAATATTTTCCCTCCTCTTCTTCTGTCCTCAGGCCTTCTTCCATATTCTATATCTCTTTCCAGCAAACGCAAGCCAACTAAATAGAACCACAGAGGAAGGAATTGAGCATGTTCTTTCTTGGAGATGTTGTAAATGTATCTTGGGTCATATCAGTGCATGACTGTGTGTGACTGAGGTTAGTGAAACCTGCCTCTAGCATTGGTGGCATAACAGGATAGTAAGAACAACACTTATTTAGGGATAACAAGACTGCTCCCTTGTGATCTGAAATATGTATTAATTTTTTTAAATTGTATTTGTATAGGACTTTTCAAGCTGGGAGAGCAATGTGCTTTACGCAGATACCATAACAAAAAAAGATAATGATCTAAAAAGAACAGCAACATTCAAGCACCCAGGTTAAAGCCATATCAAAATAACTTACAAATAAATAATTGAAAAGTGAGACTATTAAACTTTATATCAGGTGGTTGAACAAGAACGTCATGTGACACAGATAAAAGGCTGTGAGAGTGAGAGGATGACGCTCAGACTGTTTGCACGGCTGCCAATGCCAATAAGAGAAGGAACAAAACACAGAATCAGAATAACTGTGGGAATAGTGCAGCTCAGATCCTCTCCTCTAATGCGCCTAAGCTCGTCTGGGAGGAAAAAACATAATGTAGGCCACGGCGAAACAGATTGGATTCTCCCAGACAACCGAGCAAAGGGGAACAGAACCTCAACACGGAGCAGAGGTGACCCCTGACCCCCAGCTACACACTGAGTTTCTGACTAACACACTCAAAGGCAACCGCAGAGACAGAAACGTAGAAGTAAGAGCAATGCACCACAAAAAAAAAACCTGTATAACCCAGAATAACCCTTCTCATTTAGTGTTGCAAAAAGTACCAGCATTGTAACCCATGACAAGTTCTGCCTGTTATTGGAAGAAGTCATCAGACATGGTGCTGAAGGCTTTTGGTAAACTAGGTCAGCGGGTCTCTAAATGTAACAAAATCAGCAACAGGGCTCCTATGCATGTTCCTGGCCAATTATGGTTCAGGTTTCAAAACTCAGGGCTGGTGCAGACTAAATATTGTGGTAAACACTGTCAGCCTACACATTTGTCAAACCAAATCTAATTAACTCAGTGAATGCATTTCTGTTTCCCATAACACTAGTGATTTATCCCTGTAATTGCTCCAATTACAGCCATTTAAGAGTATCAACAAACATTACAAAGGCAGAAGTCTGAGGCTATAGCAGAAGAGATACACAAATTGAGCCCCTCCTCGACTGAAACACCCACCTTGTGATCTGGAGTAGACGGCCACAGAGCCGCTGACCAGGCCGACGTACAGACAGTGTTTCTTATACACTAGGCTGGTGACGGTGGACTTGTCAGGGGTGAAAAAATGCTGCAGGCGCACTTTCTTTGATCGCTGGCTGCTTTTATACACAATGATACTGAAGGAGAAAGGAAATGAAGTTAGATCCAACTTACAGCAGTGTGCTTCTTTAAAAATACACATCTATGTCTTTGTCAACTATAACATTATGGTAGTAGATGCAGTTAAAGAGATTTAAGAGACAGTGTTTGACACTTTGAATGATTACATTTAATTAAATCTATTCTATTGCTGAAACAAGTTAAATGTTTTAGAGATGCTTTTGGGGACTTTTTCGGATTTTTTTCCTGACGATTCCTGAAGTATTACCCACAGTAAAGTTTGGGGTAAAATAGAAGAAACTCTTGAAAATGCATTTGTTTTTCATCCTTTCAATCCCCATTTATACATGCATAAATAAAACCTGACATTGGATGGATCATTGAACCACTTGCTGTATCTTTTATACATTCAAATACATTAAAGGCACACTGTTGTAGGCACACTGTCTATGTTCCGTACCTGCCCTCCTCCATGCCCAGACAGACACTGGGGGAGTCACTGGCCTTCGCTGCAGGGACACAGTTCTTTTCTGGAACCTTCTCTCCGTTCTCCTGAGGCTGCTCAGCAGGGACGAAGGTCATGCAGAGGATACGGGACTCCACGTTGAAACACTCAGTCACCTTAGGGTTGGAGCTCTGCATGGCCACGATGGATATCTGGCCCATCTGGTTGGTGCAACTCGCAACCTGAACACAAGTGAAAAGCCTTTAGTTTTTTCTGTCTTAGAGAGACCCAGCATTGGGGGCACAGTATTAGCACCAAAAAAAAGCAAACATCAGAAATAGACATGCGACTGAAGTACTTAAAGTACGTAAAAAATGTATAATATAAACCAAACTGTATATAATTATCTAGTACAACATACGATTATGTTGAAAACAATATTTAATATCTTGGTTTAACATCTTTCTGATAGAGTTTATATTGGACCTCACCATGAAAATAACCAGCTAGAGAAATGTTTATATCTTTAACAAACCCAAGGTTTTCCCTGATAGTGGAAAACACGGCATAAGCAGTGATGACCACAGTTATGACAGTCCGTTTATTTTGCTTATAAACTTAGGTAATGAAGCAATTATAGTGAAACCAAGGTTATTTTCCCAAGGGGACATTAGACATTTTAGATGAAGAACAGCAAAAACGTATTAAAACTAAATCTGACTAAGCTAACACACTACAGTGAAAAACTGCTCTCAGCCAAAACTAAGAGCCACACTCAAGTAGTTAAACCTAAATAATCTAGGGTGCTGAAAATAAGAGGATAGCGATACCATTTGCCAATGAACAGTTGTTAAATCCACTTAACACACTTAACTAAACCCTTAAATCCAAAACTCCTATTTCAGGGGTGAGGCCCATGAACGTATATTAGCAGAACTACTAATGTTATTTCCCTCTGGATGGAAGAAGCCCATACTTTTGTAGGTAACCACTATAAACGCTGAAATAAACTCTTTAATGTATGTAATTGTTGAAATATTGGCTACGACAGTGTTTGTTCTACTGAACAAAGAAGGGAAAATGTCTCACCCAGACACAGCCATGGCCCACGACCGGAGTATCAGCTGTGCTCTCTGTGTTGATGTGGGGCTCTGGATTATGAACGGCACATTCCACCTGTCACACAACATGAGGACAGGTCAGACGAGTAAGTCATAATGTAGGAATTCACAGGATATAGAAAACAGGTGTCCGGTTGTTCTTTATTGGTGTCTAACCCTATTTTGTTAGACATCTACTAAGGGACAGCGACAGTCCAAATGATTGCCACATTTCCAGTCAAAGTCCACCCACATGGGTCAAATCAACTACATGTCAATGTTTCTCCGACCAAATGACCCTTATAGTTAGTGCTGTTATCTGATACTTGTTACTAGTCTAAAATCAGAATGGCCAGTACGGGTATCGAACCCGCGACCTTCGCGTTATTAGCACGACGCTCTAACCAACTGAGCTAACCGGCCTGAAAACGGACTTATGGTAGGTCAGGTCTGGTGACAGAATGTGATCCTTGTACCACCACAAATCACTGTCATGTCTATTTTTGAAGAGCCAATTCGTAAATAAGCATCTTAGTATAAACAATGTCCATGAACTTTTGCTGTTACAGATAACCCTGTTTGCAGTCAAATGCTCACAAAAACTATTTGAAACAAACACCTGCATCCACCCATTTAAAACTATACAAAGACACATTAGAAATTGTTTGTAAGGATTACCATGTTTCCTTGTTTGTTAGTGTTCATGACATTTGTGGAAGGATGTACTGTAGCACGCAGGGGAAGAGCTATTCAATTTTTTCTGGCTGATATCACAATATCGGACACACATTCATATTTTTTGCATTATTGTACTGCCACATTGTTTATCTGATTAACTTTACATTACGTATGTCAAAGTTTGAAATTCTGTTTCAAACTGAGCTAAATAGCCATAACTATTGGCCAGTACGGGTATCGAACCCGCGACCTTCGCGTTATTAGCACGACGCTCTAACCAACTGAGCTAACCGGCCAACTTACAAAGACTATATAGCATACTGTCACAAAGATGGTAGGTATACATATAATACTGAGTTTAATAATAGGGAAGAGATGGAGTTAAGTATACAGAGACTCACAAATGCAATCACACACTTACACGCAACAAAAGCTGAGACAGAGTCACTCAGACAGCTGATTTACAACAACATTTATACTGATGACCTTCTGTTGACCACACGAGAGGCCTGTTGAGAGGTGGAACAAATATGGCTGCTGGATTCCAACTAGGGCACCCCTCCAATACACGAGACTCAAATAAACAAATTCAAAGAAGTCCCAAATTGCAGTCCAACAATCACAAGTAAACAAAAAGAAGCAAGTCATTTATTTTGAACCCATTCCTTAGTGCACTGAGAGGAGTGAAAGACATTAAAATGATTAAAAGGTCCTGTTAAGTACTATAGCCTACAATGTTTAGGAAGGGCCTCAGAGTGACATCAATTATTCTAAATGACTCATGATGTTAACATTGTGTTGTCCATTCCACAAATCAGTGTAATAAAAACCAATATCATTTAATGGTGACATTGCTATTAGCTTGTTTCTTGTGATTCTAGTCGGTGGATCACGCCCCGATGGCATCACGCCCCGATGGCATCACGCCCCGATGGCATCACACTGTAACCAACTGAAATGCTGGCCATCATACATTTTTAAGTCTTTTAAAAAGGATGATAACTGATCAGACACTGCTAGTACTGTAGACATAATCCATTAAATGTTGTAAAGACATGCAGTTTGGTATTTAGGACACAGTCACACACATGACTGAGATAAGAACATTCAGACAGTTGATTTGAGATTACATTTATACTGATGACCTCCTTTTTCCTACACTAGAGGCTTGTATATGTTGGTAGCTGCTTTATTCAAAATATGGTAACCTTCCAAATGCAAAAAAAAAAACTTGGACTCAAACACAGTGTATCTAACTCCATTCCACAAATCGGTTGAATAAAGGAATGTAAAACCATTAAATGATAAACATTTTAGAAATCATTAGTTGAATATGCTTATCCCTTGGTTTTTAGGAAGTGACTTCAAACAAATGTGATATATAAAAAAAATTGTTATGTCATTGTGGTTAATCTATAGGTTAACAGGCAGTGTTATAATATGAGCATTGACCCATACTGTTGTCGGACCTTGGCATTGAATTGAACAGCCACTATGTATATTGGAGTTTACTACATTGGACTTAATATTGGCAATGGCCTAATTCAAACTGACCGTGCAGCACTCCAATCAGCAAACAATATATCCATAAAGTTCTTGTGGCTTGTTAGTGTATCAAACTCACAACCTTGTTTCTTTTAGGACCATGATATAACCAACTGAGCTGACCGGCTGGTTGACTGTTTGTTGCTTTCACTTAAGAAAGTGACATGAAAATCAAAATGTCTCACCTTGAACTCCTGCAGCTTTGACATGACCACAGGCATTTGCCGAAGCAAAAGAGGATGTTTCTGCTTTTTGATCTGATTCCCATCTTCCTCGGCGAAGAACCAGCCCTGCAGGTTGTCCTCCTCTGATGTAACACACACAATTAGCACGTGATCTGATGTACAGTATGCAGCAAGTGTTTTTTAACCACAACAAGTTATCTGCCTTGTTTTTTAACCACAATGTATCTGCCGTCAGAATAAAAGACTCTAGAAGTCACATTAAACAACTATCAACTTAGAACTAGTTTTAAACATTGTTTGAAGCTGATTTTAATACACTAAATTTGGTCATAATATGTGGATGACCTAACAACCATTAGCCAATAAGGTTTAACTGTAGTCACTTGAAAAATCATAGGCAATGAAATAAAGAGATAAATATACCAAAAAAGTCAAGAAAGTAAACAGATACATTTTATAAATGCGTGTATACACAATTAAAATGAAATAAAACAATGGTAGAACTGAGACAGTGTGGTTGTACTGTACCTAGAGCCAGCTTAGCCATCTGCAGGTTGCTGATCCATGACTGTTTGATGGCTGGGCTGAGGGTGTTGAACACTGCACTGAAGTAAGTGGGTTTACCCAACCTGCCAATAGAGAGGACAAAACAGAAACACTAGATTAGAAAGTTGAAAGAAAGTTACACACTCTAACAGTGTTATATGTATATTATCACAACATATGATAAATGTGTTTCATAGGATATTTTGTGAAATGTTTTTCAATGTCCACCTAGATTTACTCCACATATTTAGTATTTTTTTAAAGCTCGTTGTGATAACTTAGCTCAACAGCCACACACTGGACAGGAGTTCAGAATTCAAAACTAATAGCAACAATGTTTTCAAAAGTTTTAGTTAAATAAATACAACCTTTTTCTCAATGCCTTGTAAGTGCAATTACATATTAAAATAGGTATTTTGAAGTTAAGACCAGTTTTACTACATATAAATCCTCACATACAGCTTTAAAAAAGTACCGTAATTTTCGGACTATAAGCCGCGCCTTTTTTCCCATTTTTCGACGCTGCGGCTTATATAACGGTGCGGCTAATCTATGGATTTTTACAGCTAACGGCCACTAGGGAACCTCCTAAATCTATGGATTTTACAGGTTACAGTCCACCACCTTTAACTCTATGGGCTCTATGGCCGGTCCGCGCCCCCCACCTTTAAGCGGCGGGCTCCAGCAGGAAAAGCTGGAGGCCGGAAAAAGAGTGAGACAGGTAGCGCGCAAAAGTAAAAGTGGAACCGAGAGTGGTACGAGAGACAGAACGAGAGCAAGACAGACAGACATTACGAGAGCGAGACAGTTTGTCCCCGTACCACTGGTTGAAAACCACTGCTGTAGATCACTGCCGGTACGTGCGCTGGGAGCGCACCGTTTAAGTTTGAAAGTTGAAAAGTTTGTGTGTCTGAAACGCTATGTGATACAGTACAGTTTACACAGCACATGTTCTGTAGCTACTATTGCACTAAATGCAGTGGTTAATTTGAGCCGGATCCTGCCGGAACAGGATCCGGCACCTCTTCATTTTGGCCACCCTGTGTTCCGGCACCTATTTGGGCAGATCCGGTACCNCCATCGTAGATACCGACCAATGGTTTCCAAAATTTCCTCAAAATTCACAACAACTTTGAGCTTTGGATTAAAAACCCTCTGATGTCCGAGAGGTGATGGTGTAGGTTCCACAGATTCCTCCACTCCATTGTTTTGTAAACCTTTTAGAAAGCACCTGGAGATCAACAACACCAAGAACCCCAAGTAGTTATCAAGAGAATGTGGCAAACGAACAAGCCAAAGATAAGATCCACACAGAGGTGCCGGAGGGTGGACCGGAGACAAAGAGAAAAATAAGAAGAGGGAAAAAAAGAGAAAACAAGGCAGAAGAAACTTGAGTGGTGCCGAGAAAGAGACAGGGTACAGTAAAACGGAGAGTGGAGTGAATGAACCGTTGGGGTGAACTCCATCTCACTTAAAAACTGCCTCTAGCATGAGGAAGAATCCTTAATTTACCGGATTGCAGTAGGATGGACTCACTATTTCTATTTGTTAGCTGCTGAAAAGAGAACACTTGTTTCAGAGTCGGCTGTGTGTGTGTGAGTGATCTGTGAACCATTATGCAATCATGCACAGAGATGGAGTTGTAATTGGATGGCTATAGTTGGACGAGGAATGCTAAAGTACACACACATCCGGTTTACTCCAAGCGTAGAGAGTTACAGAACTCGTGTTTAAAAATACTCTGGAAAAGTCGAAGTTCCTGACTAAACCTTCTTTACTCTCGTAAGAAGTAAAGAAGTATGGCTTCAAAAAGGTTTAGTCAAGTTAAAAGTACCGCATTACGTACAAGCTGTTTTAAAAAACTAACTGACCCTCCGCTTTATATTAATGAGAACGCATAATGTCAGTGTTCGCTAATGAATGTTTCGATCGCTTGGAACAAACGGCAAAATGAACAACGCTTTTCATGTGGTCCCCTCTGTTCTAGAGAAGACCAGGAATATATAGGATGAAAATCCAATTAGGCCCGCACATGGCTTCTAAATAAAAATGATCAACGCGACCAAACGCAGATTAAAAACTAAAGTAACAAACCTGTTTTTGAAAATGATAGAAGTGTGAAAGTACACGGTCTTTGTGTTTAACATGTAAGAATTCGTCAGAAAACATAAGTAGTGGGAGTACTTAAGTACAGTAACGAAAGTATTTGTACTCTCTGATATTGGATCTTCTCATAACAAGCACACCTAAAGAGACGTACTAACCTGTATTCCTATAAGAAGACCTGGGGGTCCTTCACAGGTACTCCTTCATCCCTTGGAAACCAGGAATGGCTTGTCGCAGGGTGGTACCGACGCTGTGGCTGTCCTGTGGACGGGTGTCGTTTTCAGACATGATCCGGCGCCTCCATGGCGATGGTCACAGCCTTGGGCGCTGTGCCAGGCTGTTCGGGTGGAGTTTGTAGAGGGGCCCCCTGCCCGGGTTGAGCCCCAGGCAGAGGCGCTTCAAGGGCCCAACCATGCCGCGTGAGGGTCCTCCCTCGTGGTAGGCGTCCTGGGTGGACTCGGTGCTGCTCTGGGCGGGATGGAGATTGAAGGGGCTTGGAGGTGGTGCGGGGCGGGACCGGTGGTGGGAGGGGTCTTCTTGTAGTTGGATGTGTAGGTGATGGCTGAAAGGTGGGAAAGACACAATTAATCAAAAAGTCATATTTAAAGGTCCCCTATTTATACTGTTTTTCTCATCAATATATTATAGCGTTCTCCCAAAATATATACACAAACATGTCTCTTGTAGCTGTTGGCTCAAAATACCAAACAGATCATGCAAGGCATCCATAATCCCTTCGTGTTCCAGCCCTGTTTTGAAAAGTGCTGATTCTCTGTCTGTCTTACTTAGATGAAAAATAAGGAGCCCACTCCCACGCCCTCTGAGAGATATTCTTGGTTTTAAAAAGAACTAGGGGGTGCACCGAATGGGAAAATCTCTTGCGAAAACCGATACTGGAAATAGGGACAACAGTTGGCCGAAAAAATCCGAATACCGAAAGGCCGAAAATGATTAAATATATAAAATATGATATTAGACAGATATATTCTATTAGATGTATACACTTTTTTACCAATGTTCGTTGCAGTTACCTGATTATGGAAAAAGTCATGGAATGGCAAAACTTTAACTTAATAAAAAATCTCTCTCACTGCAAACACACGTCAAAAAAAAACCAGAACCACACACCAACCCGGAGGAAGGAGCAAAGAGAGAGACTTTATCTATTTAAGTTAAGTTTTGCCACTAATCATGTCTTTTTTTCCTAATCAGGGTAACCTGCACACATTTGGTAAACAAATGTATACATTTAATATATATACTCTTTCTATTATAGTATATTTAGTACAATTAATCTTTTCGGCCTTTGGTATTCGGTTTTTTCGGACAACTGTTTTCTAATTTTCGTAATCGGTTTCGGCAAAGAATTTCCCATTCGGTGCACCCTAGTTCTTTTAACAAAGATATCCGTTCCTCAGAAGGGGCGTGGGAGTGGGCTCCCTTATTTTCCATCCTAAAGTAACCAGACAGAGATCGCACTTTTTCAACACAGGGCTGAAACGAGGGATTACTGGGATGCTTGCAATGAATCTGTCTTGGATATTTTGGAGCCAAACACTACAGAGACATGTTTTGTATATATTTGAGACCTATAATATATTGATGAAAAACAGTATAATAGGGGACCTTTAAAATTGACTTTTTGATTAATTGTGTCTTTCCACCTTTTCCAGCCATCACCTACACATCCAACTACAAGAAGACCCCTCCTCCACCGGTCCCGCCCCGCACCACCTCCAAGCCCCTCATCTCCATCACGGCCCAGAGCAGCACCGAGTCCACCCAGGACGCCTACCACGAGGGGAGGCACCCTCACGGCGGCATGTGGGCCCTTGACGGCCTCTGCCTGGGGCTCAACCCGGGCAGGGGCCTCTACAACTCCACCGACAGCCTGGACAGCGCCAAGGCTGTGACCATCGCCATGGAGGCGGCCGGAGTCATGTCTGGAAAACGACACCCGTCCACAGACAGCCACAGCTCGGTACTCACCTGCGACAAGGCCATCCTGGTTTCCAGGGCTGAAGAGTACCTGAAGACCCCCAGGTCTTCTATAGGAATACAGGTTAGTACGTCTCTTTAGGTGTGCTTTATGAGAAGATCCAATATCAGAGGAGTACAAATACTTCGTTACTGTACTTAAGTACTCCACTACTTATTTTTCTGACGAATTCTTACATGTTTAACACAAAGACCTGTACTTTCTACTTCTTACATTTTCAAAACAGGTTTGTTACTTTAGTTTTAATCTGCGTTTGGTCGCGTGATCATTATTATTTAGAGCCATTGCGGGCCTATTGATTTCATCCATAATTTCCTGGTCTTCTCTAAACAAGAGGGACCAATGAAAACGTTGTCATTTTGCCGTTGTTCAGCATCGAAACATTCATTAGCTAACAATGACATTATTGTTCTATTAATATAAAGGGAGGTCAGTTAGTTTTTAAAACAGCTGGTAGTAATGGGTACTTTTTACTTGACTACATTTTGAAGCCCATACTTCTTTACTTTTACGAGAGTAAAGAAGTTTAGTCAGGACTTCGACTTTTACCAGAGTATTTTTAAACACGAGTATCTGTACTTCTACTTGAGTAAAGGATGTGTGTACTTTAGCCATCTCTGTCCAATATAGCATCCAATACAACTCCATCCTGTGCATGATTGCATAATGTTACAGATCACTCACACACACACACATCCGACTCTGAAACAGTGTTCTCTTTTCAGCAGCTAAAAATAGCAATAGTGAGTCATCCTACTGCAATCCGTCAATTAAGATTCTACTCATGCTAGAGCAGGTTTTAGTGAATGGAAGTTCACTCCACGGTTCATTCACTCACTCTCCGTTTACTGTACCTGTTTCTCTTTCTCGCCACACTCAAGTTTCTTCTGCCTTTCTCTTTTTTTCCTCTCTATTTTTCTCTTTGTCTCCGTCCACCTCGCACTCTGTGTGATCTTATCTTGGCTTTGTCTGCCACATTCTCTGATACTACTTGGGGTTCTGGTGTTGTTGATCTCCAGGTGCTTTCTAAAGGTTACAAAACAATGAGTGAGGAATCTGTGGAACTCACACCATCACCTCTCGGACATTCAGAGGGTTTTATCAAAGCTCAAAGTTGTTGTGAATTTGAGAATTTGAAAACCATTGGTCGGTATCTACGATTGCTCTGTCTGTAGGGAGTAGTCATGTTTCTTCTCTGTATTTCTTCTTGCTCCATATATTTTAGTTCTCGCCCCATTAACAGTCTTCTTTCTTAAATTCATCTCTCCCCCGAATTCTCAGTATTTTACGCTATTTAATCAAACTCTGGGGCAACTTTAATCCTTTCAAATATTTAAAGAAAAGAGAGCAGACTACTTCATTAATATCATTTTCTGAAGGTACCTGAATGTCGTTGCACGGTTTCCACAAATAAATCAAGCACCCTTTAAAAGGTTATTACTGGGGACTCAGGTAACATTAAGAAAGTCCTTTGGCTGGCAATAGAGCTAATACCCAAATTACACAGAATCGCATTGACTGTCAGATGTTGCCTTCACAGTCAGCCAGCGGATACATAATCCATTTAAAGTCAATTAATCCTGCTTCACCCTCTGCGTTGTATCACATCCAAACTTAGATAATACCTAGCAGCAGGTTTTGCCCAGGATCACGTTTAACTGTGTAAATGGGAGCAATTAAAAATAGCCTCTAACACATAAGTACTAGCCGCTTATTAATATGATGTATAGTCATTTTTCCTAATTAGAAACCTTCACAGCAGATTTGTAGACTTTAACTTGCTTTTAGTGACTAGAAAGTTAGCCAAGTATCACCTTAGATATCTGTGTTTTATTATTTTAAAGGGCCCATGTGTTAGTGATAGTTCCATCTGTTATCTGGCATTACACCCCAAATTCTATAAAATATTTGTTTCTAAGTACAAATACAATTTGTGACAAACATTTATTTAAAACCCAAATACATTTGTTTAATATAAGCCCTTTTGTGTCTTATAAACAGTAGGCTAAAATGCTGATATCTCACAACAGAGCATGTATCTGAGTCATTATCAATTATCGCCAACACATGGTGAATGCCTTGTTTACATTTGAATGTGGAATATGAATGCAGTTTTTGCAGATACCGTGTTATATCAATTCCGCGCCTCATGTACTGTATGCACTCACTCAAATGCAAAACACTAATTCATTGCACGCTCATTCATTTTCTCATGTTTCCCACTTTCTCACTCACTCATTCTCTCACTATCAGATACAGTTCCTACTGACAGTAAGAGTAAAAGAGCAGTAGATCATGGAGACAGGAAGCAGCAGGTAGACGGCACAGGCAAAATAAACAACATGCAACAAGTGTTCATTTTACAAGTCACAAAAGGAGGTGAGCTTATGTGGTGACGACTGAATGAAATGGTGTTTGGGAGGTCGGCAGGGAAGGCTAGCTAATACGGGATCTGCAACACTATAAAGTCTGTGCTGTAAAAAAGATATGCAGGTGAGATGGGTCAAGTGGTCTGGGAACTGGAAAAGGGCGCTTAGAGAGCTGAGCAGGAGGCCAGCTGCAGATCAGGGAGGTCTGGGTGGGAAGGTGGTGAGGGGGTACAGCCGACTGGGGTCCTGTGGTGCTGGGCAGTGACATGTTGACACACAGTGAGGACTCTGAGGTCATGACTTATCAACCAGCAATAGTCAAAACATATGTGGTGTATTTTTGGGTCGGAGAAATCCCGGAATTATTCTCAATATATTTAGTTTTGACAATTGTAGACCCTCGTGTTGGAAAATAAAACCATTCTTCATTATTCCTCCATTTTTTTGTTTAACTTCAGATTTAGTTATTTGAATAAGAATTTGGTTGGTTGAGTTTTTAAGCATTTGGACGCATTTCTTTGAAATAACTTTATAAATAACAAAAAGTGTGCAATAATGAAGCATGTTTGAGTGTTTCTTTGTGTCCAGGTGGGTGTGGGCTGCTTTATAAAACTACTATATAGTTACCTCTCATTTTAAAATTATATATTGCTGGTTTGGAAGGGATGACAATAATGTGTTGCACCAGACAAATGTTAGCTCAAATAATGATTTTTCTGTATCACAGAAAGGTTCAGCTGCATGGACATCAGCCTGCTTCACCCACTACTGGAAGTATAATTAACCTGAATTAGTCTGCCTCTTATTGATTTGCCATTTCCTTTTGACACCACTATCTTAGGGGCCACCGTATCTGTGATCTTTGACCTTGTGGCCATGGTGCTGTCGGACTTCCCGTACTTTATTGCTGGCCTCAGTGCACTTTTGCTTCAGCTGAGACACATGTTTGTGTTCTGGAGAAGTAATTGATGTATTTACAAAAACTGTTTAAATAGGAGCCATAATGAGGTTGCATAATGAGGGGAATCAAAGCTTTTAACCTTTCCCATTTGCTGGGAAATGTCAACAGGTGGTGTTTGTGTGTTCCGTATGAAAGGCACGGTCGCTCTGTTCAAGTTTTTGCTGATTCTGACAGTTTCCACACCTGTGCTGATGCTGTGGCTGTGGTTACTAATGCAGTGTGTATGTGAACACCAGCATATCTCTTTGTAGGTAGACCAAAACATCTTCATGGCAGCTAAGCCTATGGGACATAAATCTCACCGCCTCCTGGATGTTTTGTCCTCCTTTAGACCTCATCCATCACCAACACGAATCTCATTCTCTTTTCATGAGGTGGACTTTGCTCTGTTTCTTTCAAAGAGTAATGGAGGTCACCTCAGCATGCAGCTCCACACTCATTTCCTCCTCACTAACAGCCTGACAGATTACAAAATACCTCTTCAAATATGTTACTCCCCAGCTTCAGTAATGACCGCACTAAAGTTAGGGTTGACGCTTCCTCACAACAGATGGACGCCATACTTTGAACGAGCGCGTTTGAATCACTTTCATGCTCATTACGTTACATTAAAATGTATGAATGCCAGATGTTTCTAACGGTCTCATATGGACATTTATTGACTGCTCATGCAATCATCCTGGAAATAGAAATGCAGGGATTTATATATTTTTTCAAGCATCTCTGTACTTAAGCTCAAAGGTATTAAAATGTGCTAATCAGCACAAAAAATGAAGTATATCTTCAGCTGATGGGATTTGTTGGAAAGTATTTAGTCCTGAACCAAGGTATTTTGCACTAATCATACATCTATCTCAATATCCAACCACTCTGTCCCATCCTCTTTTTGATTTGCAGGCCATTTCTGATACAGAGGGTAAAAAGGCTCGGCGGACATTTAAAAAGGAAATACTGAAATGACAAAAAAAGACAAAGAAAGAGTTAAGTCCGCAAAAGAAAGGGAAATATTGTGACAGTAAGCCAGCAGGAAATTGTGAACGCTAGACAATGAGAGAACTGAAAGCAAAGAAATGAAAGCGAAAAGAGACTAGCAATTGTAGAAACAAAGGAAAAAGTGACAGATGGAAACGCATAGCAACAATGTTGAGGAATGACAGGGCTTCCATACAGACAGTAAAACATGAGGCTCCAGAGAGTAGAGAGTGGTGCAGAGGGCGATAAAGAGGCTCTGGATCAGGACCGCAGCCATGCAGGATCAGGAAGGATCACCATCAGTCGTTCTACCTGTCCAGCCCATAATATCCACTTATGTTGCCCTATCTGTCTCTGTGTTGTCAAGTAGCTTGGAAACTTCATAATTCATATTATCTGCCTTAAGTATTGAGCATTTTTGGGGGCGTTCCAGGTATTTGTTTATCATTTGAAATAGCAAGCAAACAGTTAGCTATTTACACATGCAACAGACATGGATCAACTTTAGCATATATTCAAGTCATGTTTCAGGCCACTAGAGTAATATTTCCTCTCCTTTTAGCTTTTCCTTTGCCTTAACTAACACATAATCTAGCTCTTCAGCGGGTTAATGCTTGCACTGTGTTCACAAGCTAGTTGCTAACATTGTCCTCTGTGTTTAGTGCTGGGCAGCTAGCGTACCGCAGCTGTATCAAAGCTTTATAACTGAGAGCACTGCCCATCTACAGAAAGGAAGCTGATTGATTTGTTGTAAGTAAACCAAAGCAGTAAAGTTAATTGGCTGTGAAACCAAAGCAATATGCAATAAGGACGCTAAATATCATCATAAGCTGAGAGTAAATCAAGAGTCCGCTTATAAATCTTTGTAGGTTCATTATTGCAGCTGTGTTATTTGACCCATTGTTCATATAATTAAATACTGATGAGTGCAGCTTTAACATAGCAGTGTCCTGTCTCCTGGGGGGAAAGAGTTTCATTCATAAAATGTATTTCACAGAAACATATTCAATACGTTCCTTTTTCCTGCAAGTACCGTATTCTGTATATTTGATGTGTAAAATCATATGACCTTAACTTGTAACATCATGCATGTGAAGCCCTCAGGTTATCACTTTCAACCAGCTTTCAACACAGCACTGTAGCACTATAATAAAATAGTTCTACAAATGTCAGTCAACTGTGAACAATTAGGACTTAAAGTGGACCTGTCATGCTATATTTGAATAATATATTGTAGGGCCATACCTATATAAAACATTTCTGTGAAGTTTTTTTTTTCTTAATATCAAACAGATCATGCATTTTAGCCATGCCTCATTTCGCTCTATTTGCTCTATTCCAGCACTGTTTTTGCAAGGGCTGATTTTGTAACTACAGCACCACTTACAGGCCTGGCATATGTACTACAGCGTCTCCAGCGCTTTCGAGCGGTCTTGTGTGAATGGACACGTTCGTGGCCCAACCCCCCATTCCCCTTATAGGTGGAGAGTTGCCCATATATATCAGTTCCTTGTTTCTGATGTCAGAGATATTTCAAATCTGTATCAGATCCGTTGCCGCCCCGTTTTTAGAGAGAGGGTTGTGTTTTCTGACACTTGGTGAGTTCCCTGACACACCGGGGACACATATTCATGTATAAAAGACGTACAAAAGTACATTTTGCATGATAGGTCCCCTTTAAATTATATTTTTGAGACATTATACTGTATAGTGTGCAATATAACACCTAACAGTTCCTCTTTTATCTCGTTTTTTTGTATTCACTTCTGTAGAAACCTCAAATCCTCTGCAGGAAACCTCTTAGCCTTTGCTGCCTCCATAAATCATACAGTGTTTACTTTCTGACAGGCCGTGTACAGTTCAGGTGCTCCATCCAGTCCCACACCAATAAGCCCAGAAGCACTGGGGAATGGAAGCTCACGTAATGAGAAGCACTGTTGGTTTGTGTCATTTCTTCACATTAGGTGGAAGCAGCCACGGACTCTGAATCTGAAAGCAAAGGTTTGCGGGAGTACCACTCCGTTGGGATCCAGGTGGAGGACAATAAGAAAGGGTGAGATAATGGTTCTGGGACTTGAAGCTCATCAGAGGAACTCAATGTTTGTTCTCAGCCATTATTTGCCAATTTGGCCGGTGTGTAAATGTCTGTGTGCATACATCTTCCTTCTTTCTACCTCAGACAGGGCAGGTTCAAGCGCTCCAACAGTGTGACTGCAGGTGTGCAGGCCGACATGGAGCTGGAGGGCTTCCCCACCATGGAGGACAAGGGTCTGCAGTTCGGTGGGGGCTTCCAGCGACACTCGGAGCCCAGCACGCCCAGCCAGTGCGGGGCGGTACGGACTGTACGTACCCAGGGGCTCTTCAGCTACCGCGAAGATTACCGTACCCCCGCTGAACCCGCCAGCCCCAGGGAGACCACCAGCGAGGCCCCCTGGCAGCTGGAGCCCCCCTCCCCGAGGGAGAGCGCGGCTTCACCGGGCGAGTCTGGCAGGGCGCCCCCCTCCCTGAGGAGGGACGGGAGCTGGTTCATGCAGCTGCTGCACACAGAGACCAAGAGGATCGAGGGCTGGTGTAAGGAGATGGAGGCCGAGGCTGAGGAGAACGACCTGACGGAGGAGAGTGAGTTTTACCTGAAAGTCAGATATGTCAGATTTAGGGCTTCTCTTGTGAAGGATAATGGAAAGATGGATTTTTTTGTTTGTGTGTTTAAGTCCTAGGTAAAATCCGAAGTGCGGTGGGAAGCGCTCAGCTGCTCATGTCTCAGAAATTCCAGCAGTTCTACTGGCTGTGTCAGCAAAACCTGGTAAGAAACCCATCAAAGAGAGACTGTGTGTGTGTTCTAAGATTTATTTGAATTTGAATTTATTTTCTTTCTACATCTGTGTTGTTCTTCATGCTAGTAGTTTTAAGACTCTTGAGTTATTGTAGATTAAATTGTGCTTTGTTATTGTTTAAAAAAAAACGAAATACAACAGTAGTAACTTTACAGACGCAACAAACATTGATTAAAATATTTGTAAAAATAAGTTGAATATTAACATCTTAGTGTGAGTTATGTGTGTAAGGGAAGAGAGAAAAATATGAATAATAATGATGTATAATATTTATAGAAACATATGTATATTGATAAAATAAGAAACAAATAAATTCAGATTTTTATCAAGATATATAATAATATATAATAATGCAAATGAAAAGTTGGAAACATGCTTAAAGGGAGTAAATGTGGGAGAAAGGAACCAGCTGCCACTTTCATTATCAAACCACTTATTTTTCACAATACAATCTATGAACCACTTCCCAGTCGTAGTAGAAAAGTCAGATTTAGTTATTTTCATGGCCACACATAAAAACTTCATTTTTTAGCATTAATGTCACATGTAGGTCAAATCTAGTTTTCTACTCCATTTGTCAGCTCCGGATCAGAATTGAAATAATGAGACTCCATTAGCCGTTTTTCTCTATTTGCAAACATCAGAAAACATGAAATCTGAATTTTAAGTGAGTACGAAAAATGTGTCTGACACCGCTGAAGAGTGAACAAAGCATAACAGTCCACAAACAGTGTGAAATTAACTTGTATAATTAGAAACAGTTCTACACTCCTTCCTCTGTATTTGTTCTCAGACTTTCAGTGTGCTCTAATACTCGCTGAACATCATTGATTCTGGAAAGCTACAACACTGAGAATCAATAGCCATTTAACACATGTGACCTGAATGTTACGTATGGACAGGTGTGTTTTTGAAAGCAGCTACAAAGTTGGTGCGGAGTTGTGAAAGATAGTGTTGCTTGTTTTGCAATGTGCAGCAGAAATGGCTCATTCAGGGGAGGGGGAATAGCTCAGGGATTTGATGCAGTGAACCGGCCTTTTAGACTCAGCTAGGTGCTTTGTCCCACTGAACTTGAGACACCAAAGGCAAAACATTGTGTTTCGATTGGTCGACTTCTAGGGTCTAAGCTTTTTTGCCTTACATTTTTAGGAGTTTATTTGACTAACTTTGTCTATTTGCTGTATGTGTCCAGATATATAAGTCCCCAAGCATGATATCTATTTGTTGCACATCGCTTGTCGGGGCGATAAATAGTTGTAATGTAAGTGAACAACTGGGGAAGTTTTAGGGTGATATCTATCAGTACTGTTTTTTAACCCTAGTCCCCTGTAGTGTCTTACAAAATGTATGAAATTATACAATACATAGCTTGAAAGGTTGTTTTTTTCAAACCAACATACTCAGCGTCAGATATCTCCACTTCAGTAGCTCCTATATGCACACATCAAAGTGTAATTAATAGAGCGTTCTCCTTGAACTCTTATGCAAAAATTACATAAAAGTAGAATCTGGCTTTTTCCAATGTTCAGATTTATGTTTTCTGAAATGTATGCAATTAGCACATAGCTAAACACAACATTTCAGAAAACTTGTATTGCAAAAGATAGTTGTGTTAATGTGGGGAAATTACATGATTGTATATATTCAGGAACAAATGTTTACCCCATTCACACACAGTGAAAGATGCAGCATTTCTCCACACGACAAATCCACATACAGTATTAACTTCATACTATGGCTTTGTCTGTTAAATAAGTGCCCACAAAGCTTAAAGAGAGGTCTAATTTCTCTAAACCTGGATACACTTCTATTAAGCTTGATTGAAAAATGCTCTAAACGCGAGACAAACAGTGTGCATCTCCAGGATTAAACACACACACCGTCACAGCCAGGGCTTAAAACTCACCGACTCCTCCTGAACCTGCCAGCTGTGTATATCTGAACACTTTTTTGACAGTTTGCAGACCATCATAGGGTCAGGGGTCAGAATAAAGCTGATGAGGTGCTGAGGCTCTCCCTCGGTAATTACAGATAACAGAAATGCATTCTTCTCCCAGCTTACCTTACATGATGGACACTCTGATATTTCAAATCTGGAGTAATTTTGATTAGGTATTTGCTGAAGAAAGGAGAATTATACTAATCCCATAATGCGTAAGCAGTATCAAAGTAAAACTGTGGCTCTCTATGGGAACATTTAGCAACTTTAGAGGATTTGAATCAGGCCTTATGAGAAAGTAAAATGAGGTTACTGTATACTTTAATATCACTGACACAGTGTAATATGCATATGCATCCTTTTGCTAAGATGATCTGATTTAATGGTTTATTAAGGGATAAAGATGAATTAAAAGGTCTGCCAGTACATTTTGTTTTTTCAGGATCATGAATATTTGAATTCTATATTAATCACTTTTATGGGAGGGTCTTGCTTGCATCTCCCTCATGTATTTCTCCTTAGTGGTATGGTAGTGCAGAAAGAGCTGATGACACATTGTGATGCAGAAAGAACCAGTTGATACCAAAGGATAAAAACATATGAAATATGTCAACCATAAATGTAGCATACCATCGTACTGTAAATCTATTGGAACAAGACAGCAGCACCCTTCAGCAGCCACCTAATCTAAATGTCATGAGATTTGTGAGCGTGGGAAATGTCTCCGAGGTGATCGACACGTCACCTCACAGCTGGAGGTGCAGATTCTGCTGGCTCCAGACGGACTGGGAGACACCATAAACTGTAACGCACAACTTCCAAAAACTATTATACAACTCTACTCCCATAGCAAACATGGATTTATAAATATGCCATTTAGCTGTTATTATAATTCATTTCTAAATCACAAAAACGTTTTGAAGTACATTTCAAATATGATTACGCTATAATTAAAGCTTTGTGTGCATGAACCACAAACAGTAGGTGCATAGGAAAAGATTGGGTAAATGAACAAACACTCAGCGGACTGAAGCCAACACAGAGGTCTTAATTAAGGTTTTATTAACGTTTGTCTAAAAACAGCTTTGTATGGAAAAACTGCACTTATTCATATCGTCAATTTTGCCTCTAAGATGTCCATAAATCATACATGAAGCTTCAAATTAGTCCTGGCTATGAGGAGAGAACCTGTTTCCCATTGAAATGTAGCATTTTATTTGGATAGCTGCACCATTTATTAAATTAATATTAAATGTTTAATAACAAATTTGTTTTTCCACAAAACGTGAATCACAGAAAAAGTTTTCTGCATACATGTAAGATATTTTCTGCTAAAATGTAAAATGCTTTGAACATTTTGCGGGAAAGCCCTTAATCACACCTCAAATCACACGTATTTCTGTTTTCTGCTGTTTTATTGCATAAAGCAACAGGTACCACAGGTGGGTTTGGTCTCTCTGGTAACACGTCTCACTCAACATCAGCTGATTGCATTCCTATGTTTATTTCAGACACAATGAGGCAACACTCAATATATTGTTGAGGGAGGAAAAGGACTAACAAAGGCTTTTTATTATTTCTGATCTCATTCATGCAAATATAAAAAAGGACTGGACTCTTTCACAAATTGTGATCCCTCATTTTTACTATAATCCCTAAAACTGGCATTCATGCCTGTTTGATGAGTGATAAGGACATCTAGTGGATCTAAACTGAAGTGCAGTGACTGGATGTTGAAGCACACCATTGCTTATAATCTGGACGGCAGGCACTGAACCAACAGTCTGGCTCTTAACTTCTTTAATCAACAATAATGTTGCCTTTGTTGGATCTCTCCCCACTTCCTTCCCTTGTAGGACCCCAGCGCGATGCCGCGGCCCACCTCTCAGGACCTGGCCGGGTTCTGGGACCTCCTGCAGCTCTCCATCGACGACGTCACCATAAAGTTTGACCAGCTGCAGCAGATCAAGAACAACAACTGGAGGGTCTTAGAGAGCCCGGAGAAGAAGGTGAGGGATCCCCCCTACACTGAACCCAAACAAGTCGTATGTACCAATTATTTAATTACCGATTCAATCACACCTGATAGCAGCATAAAATACTGAAAAATAAGAAAGAGCTAGGCCCTGATCCTTCTTTAATTAAAATGAACTTGATTGAAAATGTTAGATTAGGGACTATAAAAATTATAAGCGGGGGGAAGGGCAGAAAAAAGGTTAGGGTTACTGTCAGTTTTGAAGGGTTATCAACTTTTAGCTTTTTTGTCAACTCTATCTATCCACACCACACATGTGCAAGTCAATGACTTTTTTAAATCAGTTGACCTTCGTATCAATACAACCTTTTATATTTTCTATGCATATTAAATATCTACATTTTCTATATTTTTATTTGCAAAACCAGAAATAGTTTTTCAATGTTGTTCTACTTTTATGGAAGATTGTTGCTGCTTCCTTTTCAGCCTCATTCTTTAAATACTCCCTAAGCACAAATATTTTTCTAAAGGAAGTGTCCAATTCTTTGTCTACTGTACTGTATGTGAAAGAAATGACTATTATTGGGACTTCAATTGTACTATTCCCAAGCAGCCTTGGGTTAACAGCAAATCATGAAAACCAGAGTCCAAATAACAAATAAAATCCAACAAAAGCATTTTTCAAAATCCAATCTTCAAATCATCATTGAATACAACAAAATGGATAAATCACTGACAGAATGATAACCATGTGTAAAAGGAATTATTAAATAAATACATAATCATGCCTTCTTTTCCAGGCTTTTGAGACAGTTGGCAACCTTAAATGTCACATTTGTTTGTGATCAGATCAAAACATGCCAACAGGGCTGCATACAAATCTTCAACACTTGGGTTTGTTGGTGTTTTTTGATCACTGCTGTCCCCCTTAATCATCCTCTGTTCTTCCTAAAGCCACCGGCTCCTGTACCAAAGAAGACAATTCGACAGAGGAGTTTGGTGACACGGGAGAAATCCCTGGACCTCCCGGACCGGGGGCGGCAGGAGGCCCGGCGGCGGCTCATGGCATGCAAGCGCGCGGCCTCCTTCCGGCAGAACTCAGCCTCGGAGCGAGCAGACAGCATCGAGATCTATATTCCCGAGGCTCAGACTAGACTTTAAAGAGACGGGGTCCAGGGTCGACATGTCTCCCTGCGCCCACGTTCAAACAACTTTAAAACTAGCCTTTTTTTCTAGACTGCTACTCTCTCTACTCTTCCTTTCTTCATCTGTTGTCTGATCTCAATAGCCATCCTCAGAGCCCATCGCCAACCCCATTGGTCTGTAGGATGTGCCGAGCCTCTTCTCCCATTGCCAGGATAAGTGTTAGCAGAAAATGTATGTCTGACATGGGTTGGGGGGGTTTCTCCTTGGTTTGCTGGGCGTTGTGATCCCCAGCCTACACACTCTCTCATCCAATGTCCTGGATGGGTAAGGCTGTAGTTTTTCAGCATTTTGCAAAGTGCCATTTAAAAAGTGCAGCTTTGAAAACCTACCAGCAACCAGGCCTTTGAGCTAAAACGAGTAAATGAGAGAAACTATAATTTATTTAAAGTAAAAAAATTGTCAAAGTGAGTTAACCCTTCAGTATTTTTCAATAATTTAAGTTTTTTTTTGTTTCTCTGGTCTTTTTTGGGGGGTAAATGTTAATTACAAGCTAAATATCACAAAATTGTTGTAAGTTCAAATACTTTGAAAAGTGCCAATGCTTGAAATACCTCAACTACGTGCATGTGGCACTGATCACCCACTCAAGGTTATTCAGGCAGCCCTTATAAGCTCTGGACTGGTCAGTGTTGAAAAATGCAGCTTTCTCCTCAATCTGGTTGTGGTCAAACGTTTTTTCTCGGTCTGGATTGGTGGAAGGACTACATCTGTCAGCTCATTAACATGCACATCTCAAAAAACGTTCCTATATATTTCATTGCCAACTTTCTAATATCTACATTTACTTGAAGCTGAAAACATGCAAGTCTTGTGCCAACATTTTCATTCTGTCGATGCAGTAGAAAAAAAACTATGAAGGTTTGTGTAACTCCTTAGATCAAAATGTGTAGACAAATGCACTTATGCACTTATTACAATTCTCTCTATTTCCAAGGGAAATGTACATACCCACATTCACAATAGTACTGTTGTATTTTTGAATTGTGAGCGGGAAGAATATTCATCTTTTGTTTTATTTTGTTCTCATGTTCACTTCTTGTCTGCTCTCTCTATGGCTTTTGACATGTCTAGATTTGTTGCAAATATCAATCACATGAACAAAAAACAAAACTGCTGTGTTTTCGTCTAATAAACCTCTCTCAGGCCCTTTCAAGTCTCAGCCACAGTTCATCAGGAGTGATAGGAAAACTGCCAAAACCTAAACAAAATATCTGCATACGAGTTTCAGTCACCCAAGAAGTGATTTGTAATCTTCATATTCCTGGAAAGGGTCTGTGTAGACAAAAGTCCCCTGAAGAACTATCATAACTGCATTCACCGGGCAAGGTTAGAAATGAATGAAGCTAAAATGATGCGAGCAGCAAGTCCCAAATAACTTAAACATCACAAGTTTGTTGAAACACATAAGGAATAAGATATTGTCTGTGGCTGTGCAGACCAGTGTGTGATGTTGTGTCACAATATGATGGATTAGTTTGATACATTTGACTTTGAATCCGATCATAGTTTTGAGTTCATAGTCAATAGCTCCAGCTCCTCTTATGTTCAACCTTAGCCTACACACAGGGCTAAGTGAAGGTCATCATATTAAAACAAGTTGACTTCACAAACAAATCTTGTTTGTAATTAGTTACACACAAACTACTTGCATATACTAACTGGCTCGTGTAACTAGCCCAACCTAGCTAACTGAACCAAATGGCAAGCAAATGTTAGCTTGGTAACATACAGTATGACACATTTAGCTTGAGTAGTAAAATACTTAATATCAAATGTCTTCAATATCTTTTATCAATACGGTAAAATGTTAACATTTTTAAGGTCATAGAAATAACACAACACATCTCACATTTAATAATCGTATGCTAATAACGTGCCCGTCGTGCTGGCTAATAACAATAGTTAGCATAACTTGTTGGCTAAACTGATACTTAGCATAGTCAGATATTGCCAGCCAGCAAATACTGCTAACTCGGAAACACATTTCTATTTTAAATACTAAATGCTTACTAGCTTAGACCTTTTTGACAGTTTTTATGGTGCGATTTAGTATATCACCAATTTCAATTAAGCCAGTTGTTAATAAGAATTTAGGAAGGGTTTAATACACACATTTAGCAATGGATATACGAATAACTGGTGCTATCTAGTCTTGATACGTGATGTAAAAGTGGAAACCTGAAGTTATGGGCCTTTACACCGGAGTCTTTATTGGTCATATTGGTAGAATTTACTTCTAGGCAGTTTTAAGTATTTCTCCCAAAGGTGAACTCATCTTAAGACAGATGCAAAAATGCTGCACTTTATTATTCATTTTTGGTGACAGAATATCAGTCTCAATCACGTTGCCAATTTCACTTTGCTAATGCAGTGAATGTACAGTATTCAAATCACTGGCCTAAAAACTGGCATCTCTTGATAAAAATTGGGTTAAACATTGGATAATCAACAAACTATATGCTACTGCTCCTTATTCAATAAATACAGTGTACTAGAAAAACAATCAGCTGATCAATACATTACATTTTGGTTGAGCAAGTGTGCCATTGTTTGTTACGGGATGGGACTAGGGAGATTTATCAGTGACACAAAGTACATTTCTCTCAATATATATATTTTAATGCATACATGTTTTGTTGATTTATTTGTGTGTGTATCTTGTTTTTGTAGCACAGTGCTGACATTCAGAGAAGAGAGGTTAAATCAGGGGTCAGCGTGGCTTAATTTCCATTACTACCCATCTGTGGCCTGACCTGCACATCTCTCTTACACACACTCACACACACACCCCTCAAAACCATACGCTTTCTCCTGAAACATATTTTGGTTAGTGAACCATACATTATAATAACTTGCCACAAATTTTTTTTTTTTATCAAATACATTCCGATGTTTTGATCATATGCAGGACTCTCTGTGTGAGAATTCAGGCTCACAGTGTGTTTTACTTACATTCACCATATCATGATGCGTGAGACATCGTTTAAATATAAATTCTTGTAGCAGAGCTCAGACAATACATTTCAGAGAGCCAACAAGTATACTCAGTCCAACAAATCACCAAGTAACCAAAGTCAGAGATAGATTTCAAATATGCAGTGCACTACTTCAATTAAAGATGTGGCTTTCAGAAGCCCAACGCTAGATTACACATTTCTTTTAAAGCACACCCATCCTTAAGTCTGTTGTTTTTTTTTCATGGCAGAGGCAGGGACCTTTAACAGCATGACAGTGTGTTTCTGGAAAGCGTCGGGGTATGTGAGGCCAGGCAGTTGGCAGAGCAGAGACGTTCCCCTGCTGTTGCCACAGTGGCAGGCAGACGGCCGAGAGACAGACACGGCCTGACATATGCTGGCTTAGAGGAGACGAGAGTGCCGCGCTGAGCCCCAAACTGCTGCTGTTGTGTAGCTGGAAGGCTGTTCTGTGACGATCGCATAGGCGCTGTGCCGGGTATTATTTCGCCTGCCTTTGACTAAGCAAAGCAGCTTATGTAATATTTTCGGGTCCTTGGCGAGATCAAGCAAGCAGCCTCTGAAAAGCTTGTGTTGATAAATGTATTGCTGAGTAGTGGCCTGTACTGTAGAACTTAAGCATCAGCACTGCAAGTATAACAGGAAGTTTCTCCTTTATGCAACTTGATCAGGGCTGTGAGGAAAAACTTGGTTCAGTTGAAGAGTCATCCACATAATTAACATAACTCAGTTCCAGTAGTCAAGGGGGAGCGAAGAATGTTGAACAGGATGTGTGCAATGTACGTAAGAGCTGTTAAGTTAGTTTAAGGACCTTCCTTTTGTGGAAAAGAAAAGATTACCTTGGTACCCCTGAGACTCCCTCCAAGCCTTTTTCTAACAAACTCTCTCAGCTATAATGGCTGGGTCAAGTTTGTCTCACAGTTAACTTTTTCATCTATGAAAAGATTTGAACTTCCTCACACTTCATTTTTGTCCAAGTAGATATGAACACACATGCACAGCTAAAAAGGACTCCTATAACAAAGTGATCTTGGATTTCCTTGAAACGTACTAAAGTTGGTGTTTTATGTATGCTTGTGTGGTGCGCATGTGATACTGTGAGCATTAGAGGATTTAATCGTGACTGTGGTGAGATGATGGTAATTTTACAGCTCCACCAAAATCTTGTGAAAACCCCAAGGGCAGAAAAGTGTCACATTTAATCATGAGGGCAGCAAATAACTACAAGTGCCATCTTTTTTTACTTATCCAACATACTGTAAAATTGTTACTCTACACAGCCACATTATCATCCATCGAATTGTAAGTAAGCAAACCATTTTCTGCCATCGCCCACATTTTCCTTTTTCCAACCGCATATTTCTATCATTTCATCTGTGGCTCCACTTATGGTGCGACTGTCTACTGTCTGCTTTTAAATCTTGAACCCGTGATGTGAAATATTTCAAGGGAACTTTTTTCGTAACCATGCTGTTGAAAGAAGTGTCAGACTCACTGACTGATACAACACTTCCTTGAACTTGGAATGTGAAACTCTATAATTACTAGATACAAATTAAAAAGGTAGTCGTTTAGCTAAAACTATTTTCATCTCTTGTAAATCATATCTATAGTTAAGATGAATATAATGCCAAATATTCATTATTTGTAAAGAAATATATATAGATATATAAATATATAATATATGCTTCATTGAAACATTACTATTTTCTGCATTTGCTCATGTTTTGTTGTCGTTTTTACTTTGTTTTGTTTTTTTATAAGCTGATATGATGGCATGCGAAATACTGATTCTGAATGTAGGCTTTTCTTTCGTTTGAAATTACAACACTGTCCCACTGATATGTTATGTATTTATTTAAGTCAATCACATGTGCATTTTTAAATGTGTGTTACTTCAGTGCAAATTAATGTATCATTGGGTTATTTTTGTATTATTTAAGTAGTTTGCAACAACAAATGCATTCTTTTCCTCCGTTCTTACCTAGCTGAGCTATTGAAAGATTTTTGCCTCTTTGAGTAGTTTGGTCATTGCTGAGGTCATCCAGTGTAAATAATACTGCAATTAAATTTTTTGAAGAAAAAGTTTGAAAAAATGTTTGTCTGTGTGGTGCCTGTTTACTGCTCTGCCAATACGAGTAAAACATATAACAACTGGTGAAAAAATGAATGAATGAAACACAAAGGTTTTATTTCATATTGTCAAGGCACTGAAAAGTATAATTAAGGCATGAATAAAATATAATATCACTCAAGGCACCATCAAATCAAATCCGACAAATTAAAAATTAGACAAGTTGGATGTGAATAGTCCTTCTCAATATTTTTGCATCCATGCTTAGTTGACAAGAACAACATTGCATTATTGGTGAATCAGACAAATGATTGCATTTTTTCACCTACATGTCTTTGTCGAACTGTAATTTCTCCTATTCCGTATATCTAGCAGGAAGATGCAAATCAACAATAATGAATATTCCTGTTTTGATCTTATTGGAGATGTCATAAAAGTAGATTAGCAATCAGTCAGTCATTCATTAATAGGGTTAGAGCATTTCCATTCAAACATTAGATAGAACTCATCCTTCTCTCATATAGTCTCAAATACAAGGCAAGAATACCCCCTGTTGGACAAAGAGAGAAATGCATGGGCTGATCAATTTACAGATGTTTGATTTCACTTTTTATTACTATTTCTTCCTTTTATTACTTTTTACTGATACACAAAGTTTAAGTGCTGCCTTGGAAGGCCTGCCCCCATAGCAGGGAGTGATGTCTTTGATAGTTACGGTTAATAGATTTTCCAGGGAGGCCCTGGTTTGGGAACCTTATCAACATTTCCTAACAGTTGTGGGAGTTGACATGGCTAAAAAAAACTCAACCCTTTTCAGTGGGAATAAGATGATGATGATGATAATAATAATAATATTGGGAGGGATGAAACCCCTCTTTAATGGTCACTGACATGCAGAGCACACAGCACACACAGTGAAATGTGTTCTTTGCTTTTAACCCAACCTAGTACCAGGAGTCTAGTACTAGGAGCAGTGGGCAGCTATTGCACAGCGCCCGGGGAGCAATGGGAGTGAGGAGGGAAGGGGGTTGTCCGGTGCCTTGCTCAAGGGCACCGTGGCAGGGCAGGAGGTGAACTGGGACCTAGTAGCAGTCCACACTAAATTTGTAGGTCTGGTTGGGGACTTGAACCGGCGACCCTACGGCTCACAGTCCAATCCCCTACTGACTGAGCCACTGCCGATCATATAAACATTACAGATACTGTGTCTCAGATAACTGACTGAGAGCAAATCAGTAGCCTAAGGTCACCAGCTTTTTTCTGATGGTGTTTGAGTGGTGGAGCTGGAGCACATCACAACAGGGTCTTGTTTCCACTAGCTCCTTTGTATGTGAGTATGCATGTTGTGTCCCTGTGGGTTTCCTCCATCAGTTCTGTGGTTATCTGTATGTTTGAATGTGTGTTATCACTATGGCAACATGCCAAATGTGCACATTGATTCCTGCTCAGTGCATATGAGAAAAAAAGCTTCACCATTTCCTGCGCATGAAGGTCAGACATATCAAATGATAATCATTTTAAATAAGTACACCCTACATATTTGTTAAAAATGTTTCATATATGTTTTGTCCTTCTATTGTATTACTGTGACTATATATAGTCCGATTTTTTTTATCTATCTTTGCTATTAACTTTGTGTGTTCCTGAGCATTGGTAATGTGTAACTATGCAATGTTTGGTTTTATAACAGAGACAAACCACACTTCATGGACACAATTCGACTCAGGAGATAACCAATAGGATGGATCGGGTTCTGGTTCTCCCTTAGCGGACGACATGTATTGACCAATGGGATGTCCGGATGTTTAAAGTGGGCGTCACTTCCTGTTTGCAAGTCATATGACCAAATTGAAGTCGTATGATCATGATGTGTATTGTGGAAACTGCACAAACACACAAAGCACCGGGACACCGTGTTCATTGGGAAGTGGGAACTCCTCTGCTGAATATGTTCGGAATGATGTCCGCTGACTAGTGTGCGGTGAGTAACAATGACTGCTTTGGCCATATTAGTATTTCGTTTGTTTGCTTAAACCAACTAAGTCACACGTTTTAGTCGTCGTGTTTGTGTGCTAACTTGATAACACGGTAACTGTATGTTGGGGTTCAAACTGACTGACTCCTCATGAACTTAAAGTTTGGTCTAGAGTTAAACTAATAAAGCGATACATTGTAGTTGGTGTCGAATTGGTTGTGTAGTTATTACCGAGTGCAGACAAAGTTCTCTCATAACTGTTTTAGGTTCATTAAAGCTGAAAAAAGTCGTTTTATATGAAACATTTACACAGTCGTGTTACTAAATGGAGCCTCTGTCGTCTGTTTCTAGCTATAGTAATGTATTTAATGTGTTCTCTGTTGTCATGCAGGTGACCCACATATCATGCACCTACGAGCCCCTTCCAGTCTCACCTTCAGCTGAGCCCCTCCCTCAAACATCATGCATCCTGACCAACAGCCCAGCCCTCTCCCCCATCCCAGTGCAGCGTACTTCTCTTGGGACTACCGCCTTCACCTTATTGGCCTAGGCTTTGGCTTCTATGCAGGGATATTCCTCCTCTCCCACCTCCTGTCTGTGGCCTTTTCCAGCACCTACAAGTCCCTGATAGCTAAGGAGAAGGTCTTCTGGAACCTGGCTGCAACTCGGGGAGCCTTTGGCATCCAGAGCACTGTAGTGGGTCTCAGATGCCTGACTGAGGACTCAGCATTAACCAGAGACAAAGTGAGAGGACAGGAAGACTGGTCCTGGTTCAACGTCCTCACAGCCACAGGCTTCTTTGTGTTTGAGAATGTAGCTCTTCATGCTTCCAGTGTGGCATTTCGGTCATTTGATCTGCCACTGGCGACACACCACTTCTTTGCCTTGTCAGGGTACGCAGGAGCGGTGGTGTGTGATTCAATGGGCCACTTCCTGCCAATGGTTACACTGCTGCTGGAGATGAGCACGCCTTTCACATGTATATCCTGGATGTTACTGAAGGTAGGGACCTTTTGGTGTATTGGGTTCTGCAAGACTTACTGTAACTACTTTGCTCCATACATGGCATCCTTCCCTCATCTCATTTTGGAAAAATTGCAGTAATCAAATAATTGTTTGGTTCAATGGGCTCTAGTTGTTAAACCCTTTTCTCACTGTATGAAAAACCCACTAATATCTGGTGGGGAAAGTTTACAATTTTGATTTGATTTGATTTATTTCGAATGTGTAAAACAATAATATAAACATTTAACGTGAGAATTATTACACAATACAAAATGAATCGGTGTCTAATTGATCTACAAAAATATTACTGATTCTATATTATATGTATAACGGACAATTGGCATTCATTCTCTGGACAAATGACTAGTCACAGGTATTTGTCTTCTGCGATCGCCCGTGATGGAAACCCTGTTTGACTCATTTGCAACATGAGGCACATTGAAGTTAATATAATCAGCAGGGATATGGACAATAATTAACATAGACATGCTCTCACAGATTCTTCTCAACTAACACAGGAAGTCTCACAAGGTTTCAGATCAACAGATAAAGGTCCAAATTCTTAGAAAGAGGAAGTTCTACTAAAAAAAGATTGAGCCACTACCTTATCTTTCTCTGTTCCTCCAACTCACAGATCTGATTTCAGTACACTGAAGTTACAATGTTGTTAATCTTCCCTGATAGGCTGGCTGGGCTCGCACCCTGCTTTGGAGAGCCAACCAGTGGGTGATGATCCACACTTTCCACTGCCGCATGGTGCTCACATACCACATGTGGTGGGTGTCTTTTACCCACTGGAGCGACCTCAGAACCCATATGGCAACGCCCTTACTCCTCCTCTTCTTCATCGGCCTCACTCTGCTCACGTGTGTCCTCAACCCCATCTGGACGCACAAGAAGACCATGCAGCTGCTCAACCCTGTGGACTGGAACTTTGGAAACAAGCCGGCCCTTGTAAATGGCGCCATGGAGGGTCGCTCTGAAGCTCCTGTCAAACCCCACGCCAGCTAATGTGCACCACCGAGGATCTTTTCTGAATATGCCATATTTTTTCCGTTTCGAGTGATGTGTGAAGTTACTTTGAGAGTGGCGAGAGCTTGATGGATTGTTGTTTTATAAAACTTTTGTGGGAGCAATTTCAGTATTGCAAAGCACAAAGTCAACAATGTAAATTGAATTTAACATCTGAGGATGGACCCTCAGTCAAGCAAGTGAGCCCAGAACAAAATACACAAGACAGGTTTTTTTTGATAGTGCATGCAGACTGACTGATATGTGCAAGGTCGGGACAAGATAGTATATTTCTCCTTATGTCTAAGCAAGCACCGGACAGAATCTTTTCAAAACAACTGAGTAATTCAGGACATCATTATCATCATTATGTCTCTTGACATTTGGTGAAACACCAGCAGTTCCTTACAGTATTTGCAAATGATTATGAAAAAGACATAGCTTTCCAATCTGGAAATGTCACATCAATCACTTTTGTGATTCAAAAGGCCCCTACAGTTTAACCATGTCTGGAACTATTTTGTTAAACATTGCTACATTGTCTTCCCTCAGGCTTTACTTTGTTGTTGGATTATTTTTGATAAGATTTCATTAGGTTTGGTTATATGGGGCAGTGGTCTAGCATGGAGCACAAACTTACAAATTGAAGCTTGTACAGACAGGAGTCTTAACACTTTGAAGCAACTTAACACATGCAGTATTTAAATATTTACAGCCGATATTGCACAATATCTATCTTTGACTACTGACAGCTTTTTGTCTGATGCTAATAATAATAATAATAACAACAGACACTTAATAAGTTCTGTGGGGACAAGAACCCCCCATTAATCATGAGGACTTTTTAATACATCGCACTTTGGTGCTGATTTGGCAGAGTAGGAAAGGACATTAGTTACGTTTAAACATTGGGGTTCTATAGGCTACTTGCTGCAGCTATTACATACTAAGTCGACAATTGGATCAGTCCATTTACTGGTGCTTCTGCACTGGGAGTCCTCCCTCAGAATAGAGGGAAATATTTACCGCCTTTTGAAGGACTGGCCCACTCCATTTTTTGTTCAAAATTGAGATTTGATGTTGAAATGCATGGCCGGTGTTAAGGATTAGCTAATGTTGATCCTGATCTTTTTTGGGGGCATTTTGCATCAAGAAAAGTGTTATTTCTACTTGTTCAAAATAAGAATTCGGGAAGATGTTTTTGTTTTTCACACAATAGCCTCATTGTACTGGGATCCTTGGCATGGTGTGTTAGGATTGTCCATTGTCGTATCTCTGGCATCAGCAGCTTCGTTTGGTTCACTCAAAACAGCAAACTGGTCCTCTACCTTTCTCACAATTTTGTCAGAGGCCCCACTCTAGCTCATATGTACGTTTGATTATACTCGGAAGAATTATAGACATATAATGTTTACCCTACGTATGAATCTATGTTGAAAAGTAACAGCTTTACAGTATTAAGCAACACCTTGAGTTGAACCTGAGAAGTATGAAGCTGGGTTTAGCTCATCAAAAATGATCCAAATAACTGTAATCTGCCTCAGGACGATGGAGAGGAAGCTACACATTGTATCCTTTTGAATGGAGTGTTTTGTACATGTGATCTTACTATATTATTACTAAAACATTTCTAATATCGAAGAGTGTTTGATTTTCACTTCACCTTTCATTTGTTGTGAAATAATATCATTAACATTATGAGATGGGTGGAGGATTTCTTGGGAGCTCTAAGTTTTAACATCCTGTCTGTGTTGGGAAATGCAATAACATGAGTTAATTTGAGTGACAAAATAAATGGTTTGCTCTCAAACAGCATTGTGTCTCGTGGTTTTCTTCCTTAATAGGGTTGTGCAATAGAGCAGTGGTTACCAGACTGGGGGTCGTCAAAGCAACTTTAACAGGAGATAATCAGCTCAAAATCTATTAAAATCCTAATTTACACAACTTCACAAACAGTTTATCAGCTGTTCTGTACAGTAAATGTCATGCATTAAATATTATGTGAAATATCCATTAAATGTCCCTTAATGTAGTCGGGGGATGTCTGTTTACTCCATGATAGAAAAAGGGCAACACTTAGTGAAAAAGTTTCACTGCAATGGAGCATCCGCCTGTAGGTGGCAGAATAGGATTAATTAACTTTTTATGTTCCGTGTGACAGTTTTTCCCATTTTACCAGAAATTTGTTTGTCAGGCACTTCCTTCCAGTCTAAAATGTATTGTATTGCAACCTTTTTAAAAGGGTTTTGTTACAAAGCAGACTACTTGGTTTCTTTCCAACAATATTGGTGATAATGAAAAGTATTAACAAACGTGGCTGTGTCTCTCCATCACAATATGGAAGGGAGAGTGACAAAGTAAACGCACATATTTTACAAGCAAAGCTCCTGAAAAAGCCTTGATAGTTTTTTAAAATATTAAAGTTAATTTATTTGAACTAAGAAAACGTTTCATGATCTTCGGACAGCTGTTTTAAAGGAAGCCACCTCACAAGTCACGTGGCCGTTTGGGAACTCCTCAATGATCCCTAGCCGATCCTACCGGAGAAGACGTTGGAATTTTGAGTGACGTTGTGTCCAGCCAATCACAGCCGGACTATGTTGACTCGTCGACCAATCAGCTGCTTAGAGGAGGTAAAGGGTGTTCATGGATGGAGTCAGTTGCATCGAAGAGAGTAAAGTTAAAAGAAGGACACTGAGCGAGCGCTGGATGTGTTTTGATGTGTTTTAAGTTGTGAAGAAGTCAGAAATGCACCACGTTTAACACTTGCTCCCTGTTTCTGCGAAAGGATAAGGTTATTTTTCTGGAAAAAAGTCATAAAATGGTGAGTTGAGGACATTTTTCTAAGTTTCTGAAAACGTTTTAGATATCCCTAACTGTTTGGTAACAGTAAGTTCAGGTGAGCAGCTACGTTGGGCTAAATGATTGATACAAAGTAATGTCAAGTGTATCCTTTTGCGTTATCAGTAAAATAAGTCTATTTTTGTTAAAACGGCTATATTAGGAGATGGCTATAACGTGGCGCCTCAGTTAACACAAAGTTGCCAACAATGTCATCTAACTTCTGTACCTTTTTTTCTTAGCTTAACAACTGCGTCATAACACGACTTTAACAGTTCGAAAAACTTGAAATCAACTAGCAGAACCATTGTTTTAACTGAACAGGATACTATACTGTATTTCCTTAGGCTTTGCCTGTGTCGTGTAACATGTTGACAGATGTTGAACACAACTTTATACTTTCTGAACCCTTGCTCAATGATACATTTGCAGGTGCATTTTGCCTTCATAAGAAAGATGAGACTGAAAAACAATGTCAAGTTTGCCATCTTGAAAACAAGCTTAACTTTATTCATACAAAATAAGATATAACATGTTAAAAAAATCCATGTGGACTTTTCAGTTTAGAGCTATGAAAAAGTGAGAATGTGTTCCTGAGCTGCAGCAGTGGGCCCATCTACACATTTAAGTAGTCATGCATAGCATTCCTCAGTGAGAGCCCTGCAAGGCTTCAGTCAACTGGAAGATCCGTCTAAACAGGTAGTACAACCATGATTTAATTAAACTGTTTCTCATAGATTACTTTCTGTACAGCAAAGGGCAAGTGCTTTCAGGAATGTATGAAGCCAACAACCTCCAAAAATAGTTGAATTACAAGTGCTTTGATCTTCATTTGTTTTGTCTAGTTTCATGCATGTCTAGTTCACTCAGCCAGTACACGGGAGAGATTTGGTAGGAATCACACACGTGCTTGTACACAACAATCTCTACCAGTCATTTGTTAGGCAAATAACCAGAGTGGCCTGCCTGCAAATACAGATGCTTAATACCTTCCCACATTGTTATAACCCCTAGTAACGAAGGCTGACCAGGGAACACAGATATGTGGTTCCCCTGCTCAAATTCACTGCAATTTCCTAATGGAAGTACCCATGCAAAACACTGAGTCCTTTATGTGGGAGCATTTTTCATAATCAAAAACCTCAGCCACTTTCACCGTGGATGTTTTCAGGCACCTCTGGGACAAAAATGTCAGTGTTTCATAGAAAGGAATGTTGACAGTCAATGCTAAAGCTATGTGCCTGTTATGAATATGGCTAGGGAGACTGCATTTCAGCATCTTATCAATGTCATTTTTCATCGTAATGGTAACATATTAGTATAGTCGAACAGCAATAGCCTCTCCTGTCATTAGTAGTCTGCAAACACAGATGCAGTTCAGTGGAGGAGAAGTGCAAATTGCTAAAGTAATTGTGACGAGGCAGTGACTTTACTTTGCCAATAGCCTCTCGTGGAAATCCCTTCTGTTACGGACTCACAGTGAGCAGAGGAACATACCATTCATTTTTTAAAAGGTCGTTATGGATCCATTGTCCACCCACCACCCCACTAAGGACCCCCTGAGATAAGACATGGATTAGCAACATAGTCCAGAGCTGGGAAAGGAAAGCCACCGCTCTCCTGCAGGTGGAACACTTGTTTAGCAGATGGAAACATATGTCAGATATATTTAGTGCTTAATACATCTTTTTATAGTATTCAACTTACCATAAATTGTATGCTGTTTGTGTCTAAGGCATTTTTACTGTTATTTGACAGTAAAGGAACGAGGGAGAGGAAATGAAGGGGGAGGGGTAGGGAGGGTTATGCCATGTCAGGAAAAGTCAGCCATAATTGAGCAGGAAGCACAGTTTTATGAGAGCCATTATAGACCACCCTATCACCAAGATTTCAAAAGACTATGTTAGTACTATGCTCTATGCATTGAGCTGAGGATGACGAGTCTGCATTGCGATGAGTAATGTCAGGGGTCAATGGCAATCCAGAAGGAGTCTCTCCACCCTTTGAAGTCAGTGCAGTGACTGGAACTCTGACACTCAAGGGCAAAGCTGTTTTCCTGTGGTAATTTATTGTAATCGTACTGAGTTGCTCTATTCATATTAAAATGCATTCAGAGCTTAAACTCAGCCAGTCAACAAAAGGCCTAAGAAGCAGCTGCGTATCCACTGCTCACCACACACTAAATAGTGCTCTTCTGGTGACATGTTGGACGCTCAAGCTTTAGTGTGGTTCACTGGATGGGTGGAGACCAGTGAGGAGGGGTGACAGACAGCAATGTGGCAGTTTTCAAATGCTAAAACCATGTTTTAAATATTATACAGTCAAAGTGTTTCATTTTGTCCGAGCTGGGAAAGCCTTGTCAGTATTCTGTCTTTACTGTTAACAATAACTGCCTCCAAGTAAATTCTAATTTAAAAAGTCGATTATGGGGAAAGTGTTATAATAGGTTGCTATATATATCATCTTTGCAATACATACTGTTATGTTATTAATGACGGCATACAGTAATGAGTTACTGTGGTGGCATCGCACTGACCACATTCTGTTTAGAAACATGGCTCCTGAGCTGGTAGCTGAATCTACCACTACCAATCTCTCACATGTCCAATATTTCACACCTCTGACATCAAATGGAAATACTGCAGCCGCAGGCCTCATTATTGATGTGTAATCCCCACAATCCACTTCCATATAACTGGTAGCTGATGGGGAATACCAGACCAACTTCTGCTTGTGTTCAGTGTGTTGGGGGCAGGTTTATTTACACTGAGTGAGGGACTATAATAAAGTATAATTATGCTTGCTCAGCTACAATGAATTATGATACTAGTGTCTATAAAGATGCTTTCAATTTGTCCCATGCTTATCTAATCAACAGTTTGCCAGGAGGAGTCAGGATTCTCGCTTTTTAAAGTCAGCGATCTGGTGCCTCTTGTAGGCTTCCCCACCCTTTTTGAGGTCATGGTGGGTGGTGAAGTGTGGTGTGTTGGAACAAGTACGGCTAGGTGGCTTGTAGCAATGTAGCTACAGCACACAAGCAATATGTAATAATACAACTAGACTCTTATATGACACAAAAGCTCCACAAACCTTCAGTACAAGGTCTTTGCAACTCTTATATACTGTCTCAAAGGGCAAGAAAGAGGTACAATTGTTCCTTCCTTAAGGCTGCAGTGTCCTCCTGCCTTCCCATGAACCCCCTTCAAATACGTTAACATTACTTTATTAAGCCTGTCCGCTCTTTGTAGGGCTGGGATGTGTTGTTGTCAGTTAAAGCCTGATGACTGTAATCCTGGCAGAAGGAGAAGATTGGGACACAGCGCTCAATAAAACTTCTAGCCAAAGAGCTGCGAAGCTAAAGCCAGACACCCCCAGCAGACTGAAGTCTCTCCTCCAGGCTTTTGTTTATGACTTTTAGCCCGTGCTTGGAATGCCACTTGTCATAAGTGTGCCCCAGAAGAACCTAAATCCCTCACAAAACCAGCGAGTCAGAGGAGCACACATCACATTTTTAAATGATCTCCCCATAAGTGATGTATAATGTTATGTTTTTAAAATCTGTTAAAAACATGAAATAAATGTTTTCCTCATGAGTTACCACATGCTGTTGCGCCAGTCTGCCAGTTCTGTCACCAATTGTTTTTTGGTGCCATGTGTGCTTTATTAGGAATTGAGTCAAACGTGCCGTTACTGTGGAGGACCTGTGTGCTTTCGCAGCCCATCCATGAATTGAGAAAAAAAACATTTCAAATTGATTAGACTAGTTTAGTGTTTGCAGTCTGAGATGACACATCTAGTAGTTTAGGGTTGATGTAAAGCAGTATCGTTTAGAAATGGAGAACTTTGCGAGAACATTGCAATTGAGAGTTAAGAGTGCCATCCTATAGACAGCTAGAAGGCTCCTTTAAGTAGGTCGCAATTTATCGTTACCACTATGGATTATGTTCACAATATGTAGGTTAAATATCCTCAACATGTTTTTTTGATCCATGTCATTGTCAGTAGCAAATTGTCTGCATTACAGCAGCAGGCAACAGGACTGTTTTCCTGTCTGCAGAGCCCAATTTACCCGTCCCAGCGTGTAATGACATGCTCAGCTGAGTCTGTCATCAACCATACGGCTGACTTTTCCTCTTTGCTGTCTTCGGCTTTATCCTCAATCATTGATGTTAGATTCAATCATGATACAGTACCAATCGGGTTTAACACATAAGTTGATGAAGAAATAAATCCTGGTGAGTATCCCTCTCTTTAAGATTCTTGACACCTCGTCACCTGCTGGTTTCTTCAGTGTGTTACTGAGACAGTGCTGGCAGTATAGATAGGCTGCTGACAGAGGTCACAGATGTAGTTCAGTTGGTCATCCCGTGGGGTGAGCCAGGTGGTTCACATTTGAAGTCACACCACACCGCAGGCCATGCAGGATGTCATTTGTGGAAAGGTGCATTTTCTTCAAGAGGCAGGTTAAAAAAATAAATAAAAGCATAGTAATTATAGGAGCGAGGATGATTTGAGGGTCTGCCGGCTTGTCAGACATGTGAGAAAAAATGGCTTTGCTTCTCTACTTAATGTAAGACAAGGCAATAAAACACGGAGCCAGCTCTTCTGGAAGATGTTAAGTTAAGGTAAATCATCTGGTCTGAATGCAAATTACAAACAACAAGGGACGTCAATTGAAAAAGTCTTTTTTTTTTTTACCAAACACAGGGACCTCTCTCGTCTTTAACACCTGAATATTTGACTTCTTCTCCGCTCCCTTCCTTCTTCTTCCTGCTCTCCTAAACGTTGAACTACGCATGTTTCAAGAAAGAGGAGTCACCCCTCAAAGCTCCTGTCAGGGCTGGGCTGTACGTTGTCACTTCAAAATGTGTCAGTCAATTTAAAACCACGAGGGTCATGTAACTACGTGTTTCACACTCATACATCAGTTTCTCAGGCTGTGCAGTGTATCCTAAAGAGGGCCTCGCCGTCAGTCGTACTATTTGACATTGTAGCCGCTCCTCCTGTCCTTTTCTCTGGATGCCTTTCTCTCGCGTAGAATGTTTCTCCTCAGGCTATGCATACGCTACCTGCCTCGGTTAGCGCTAGCACTATCTTTCAGCCGCACTGTATTCAGCAGACACTGGCCCTGTGTGCTCACATCCACTGCTCTGGCACCGTGCCCTGCAAAATGGGTGGAGGACAAAGAAGCAGAGGATTTCACATTATTTGTAGACAAAACAAGCTTTGAGACTCAGAATGAGTTATCCTTTGGATCTTGTTTGCTGCAATGCTGCGGTGTAGGTTTGTCTTAGTCAGAAGTTAACTGTTGGGAACTTGTGTTGTGGTTTTCAATTCAACTATAGAGGTTGCATAGATGGAATATGAGGCTAAGATACATACCATAACAATGGCTGCTTTATATGTTAACATGATGTCATGACAATGTCATCTGCTCTTGTGGATACTAGCAAGCTGAAGTAGTCTGGAAATAGTACTTTTTTCTCCCAGGAGGCATTTGACAGAAACTGTCACCTCTGGATACAAATTGTACATCTGCAAACAAAGGCAGTGCTGCTGAGGAATGCGTTGTCTCTCATGCCCATGCAAGTCCAAAGGTCTCTCCTGCCTCAGCATGCTAATGATATTTCCCTGGGCCAACATGTGTGGTTATTACCACGTCAAAAACACAAATGACCACTGCACCTTAAATCAGAATCAGACATGCTCTGTTCGTCAGGCAGTAGGGAAATTAAGATTGTAACAGCACAGTGCAAATGAAAGGCAAAAAAAAGAGTGCACTAACATATTATAAAAATATCAAAGTGCACATTAATACATTAAAGTACACATCCATGGAAAAAAGAAAAGGTATATAAACGTGTTGAAGTAGCAGCAATGGTAATATAATACATTGTAAAAAATGCCATTGCTGCCCATATAGTATAGTAGATCTATGTTCAAGTCATTGAAGTAATTTGAAGAGTCAAGTTTCTAGAAAAAGAGTTTAGGGAAACCCACAGACACGAATCACGTTCCTGGGTTTTGGGTTTCATCAAAATACATTTGACAGCCTTTGGCTTCATGTAACCTTTGGTAAACCAAGCATGGATGTACTGGCTGGATCTGATTTAAATAAAGTCTGCAAATGGGAATGGGAAACCATTTGATTTAATGTTTAGTAAATGTGCTTGTTTTGAAGGATTGAATTAAAATCTGACCATGAGCCTGCTTTGAATAGTTTTGTTTTGGCTACAAACACCCCCACCACCCTTCTTTTCACACTAGTTTCTCCACATGTCTCCACATTGTCTTATCGATTACAAGCCTGTTTTTATGCTTGACACATGACACACGCCCACAATTAGCATGTGTGAGTGTTGTGTACACTTCAACACGTGGTAGTTTCAACAGTCCCTGAGGAGCACTATAAGAGCTTCTTTTGTTTTCATTCACTCAGTCATTTGTCTGAATTAGCTTTGGTTCAGATTCTGATGTTGACACAAAAGGTACCAGACCGTGACTGCATCACAGCCTCTGCTGACAAAGTGCTGCTGTGATTGAATAACACTGAATAACAAGTGCTGTTGGGCTTTTAGAGACTGACTGGCTTACAAATGCAGAGCTAGAAGTGCCTCACTAAATTAATTTGAAATACTGTGTGAATCACCCCTTCCATTTTGTCTTTTAATGTGGTTTGTCTTCTTCTTAGGAACTTGTGTTGGCGTAGTTGATCCCCTTAATGCTGCTGTCTGAAGAGCTTGTGCAGGAGAAGAGCAGCAAGCATGGACGTGGAAGACTTTCCTCCCCCACCTCCTGAAAGTAAAGTCAACAAAGCTTTGTCACTCACACATGTCATGCACTTTGTCATTCATTTTGCGAAACCACTCTCGAAACATGATTGGAAAATGTATGTTAATGTAGGCCAGTTAGCCCAGTTGGTTAGAGCGTGGTGCTAGTAACGCCAAGGTCGCGGGTTCGATACCCGTACTGGCCAAAGGTTTGGATAGTTAGATAAGACGTAAAGACTGTGTCAAATGTAAATCAGAATGTTCCAACAACAGTGGAAAACTCTGTACATTCTGCCTCTAACATTGTGGGTTAAAATATGTGATTGCAAGCTGAATATATTTGGGCTGGTTTCAAAAAGCGAGAAATCCGAAGACATGACATTTCCTTTAAATAAGAAATTAAATGGCAGATAATATTCGGATCAACATTGCAATAAATCGTTAGTTGCAGCTTTTTGTAAAACTTCAAGCAGTTCACAGTTGAGTCTTAAATAATCCACAAAGAGCTGATAGAAGATTGTGAGATGCTGTATTGTCAAACTCCAAACTACTTTGTGTTTACTCTTGTCACGTACTGTATGTTTGTGGTTTACTTAAGATTACAGTGTCAGACTTTAGTGTGACCTGCTAGCTTCTGTAGGTCATCTTGTGGTCACATGACTTCCTGAAGGGCTCCTGAAGCTGGACAGTATAAAGAGTAAACAACACAGATTCCTCTCCTCCTCTTCCTCACGGCTGGGGAGTGTGTGGGCAGAGCAGCGAGGGAGTAAGAAGGGTCAAATGTGCTGCGCTGCTGTGAATACCAGACAATGTGCCTCAGTATTAAACTGAATACACACACGAACACACACACGCACACACACACAGCCTCGGGGGATAGACACAGGACCGAGAAATGCTTCGTCTCCAGCTGGCCAGTCGCTTGCTTTGTTGCCAGGGCGATGCTGGAGCAGATCGTAACCCGGTGACTCATTTGAGCAGACCATTATGTGGCGGAGTGGAGATAGGACCACAGAACAGAATCCATATTGTAATTATGAATTGACAATGGGCAACTAAGCAAGGGAATGCATGTCAGTGTTCAAGCATGTATATCTCTCCATGATCTTGCACTTTACATAATCACTAGGGTAGAAAGATGAGAGAAGTAAAGATACTTTTTTATTTCCAGTTAAGGGATTTTATGAATGAAATCAGAATATATACAGTATGTGGGCTTGCACTCTAGAGTAAAGTCGACATCCAGCACTCTCCATAATCAAGCTGCAGGCATAAGTACCCTGACTGCCAACTATCAATGGACTCATAGTTGCAGATGTACTATTTGATGGCTAGTCGTGACTGGTCATCTGGCCAAATCCATTAAAATCAGGTCCTGTTCTCTTTTGGCAAAGTCAAGTGTTTCACATTGAAACCACACAGAGAGGATCTGAGTGCAAATTGTAGCAATTATTGGCAGATATGAATACACATGACGCAGTTCTGGAGTACCGCTGACTCTAAACCAGCTAGCTGTGCCTTATCTCTGTCTCCCAAACCATTCATTATTTCACAGATGGAAAACGACAGATAGCATCTTTGTTTCCAGGTTTGCTCTTGGCACCTCTCTTTTTTTTGGCAACGTTAGTCACGGTTGCAGATGGACATGGGGTCGCAAAGTTGACCCGGACCATTAGTCACAGACCGCTCCTTCAGACACTGACTACAGGGTGGAGCAACTACCTGTCAAAGCCTGAGGGAATGCTACTGGTGATTTAGAGCTGTGTACATTGCTGTGAGGGACTTCAAAGCTACTAGGTTTGCAGCTGGGAGTGTGAGAAGATGTACCTGGTCACTTTCATTGGACCGCTCAGGCCTGCAGGCTAAACACAGCATGTTCTAACAGCTAATGTGGTTCTTTTGTGTGTGTGTAATGAATAACCTTATCAGTAGATTTTTATGGTCACATAAATGCTTCAGTTGACCAGGTCTGACGGGAAGGACATTGGAAATCTGGGGAAAGCTAAACATGTCAAGAGGAAAAGGTGGATCCCAGGTGTTACAGGAACACTTTATGAAGGGTTTACACTGCATCTCAAAATGGCCTTGGGGGGGGGGAGGGAAGAGGTCAAAATGCCGAAACCAGGGATCGAACCAGGGACCTTTAGATCTTCAGTCTAACGCTCTCCCAACTGAGCTATTTCGGCATAGTATGCTAATGGTGACATTGTGTACTCGTCGACCACTAAATTGGAATTTTCTGTTTTCTTTGGGAACACAGTCAGGATATTAGAGTCAGGCTTTGGACTGAGTTTAATACAATCAAGCTGTGACTACTGATGAAATAGCTCACAAAGAATATGTGGTATGCTAGCCATCAAAACTGTGACAAAGATATTATAATAGGACGTTTAGGAGGACTCCTAAAATGTGACTTATATAGGAAAATCTTCAACCCTTTTGAAGAGCTGAAGGGTTAAGTGGTGAGAATGGGAGTTCCTTCCTTTCAGATTCTGTGGATGTGACTCAGTGAACCCTGTTTAAAGGATTTCCTAATATTTTCCACAGTATTCAACTCAGGGTGCATTTTTTTGAATGTTTTCTCTCCTTTTTTTCTTTCACTGCACTACTGAATTAAACCTAAAACACCTCCTTTACACATTCAGCTCTAAAGGCCAAAGCCAGGTTTTACATTCCACATCTGTTTACTTTCTCTTTATTGAGCTTCACTTACTCCGGGCCACGCTATACATCAGATGAGAAATAATGCAAAACTCAGGCTGTGCTCCTCACTGGAGTGAGTAACAGCTCCCTTTTCCTGCCGGCCTAATTGCAGCGTGGAAACTGGAAAGACATTTGTTGTTCCCTTCCTGTCTGCTGCCAAGTGAAGGCTCTGATGCGAGTGTGACGCCTTTGAACCCTGACTGCGTCTTAGAGTTCTGCCCTGGTTGGTTTTTGCTTATAAAGTCAAACAGCCGATGCGCTACTTCGGAGCAAATCCCAACTGTAAAAATGTCTGTAAGAAAACATACTGCTGTAGTAGACCCCACCCTTAATTATAAGTCTGTTTGTGGCTCAGTCTTTTAACTTTAACAGCCCAAGGACTAAAACTGCCACCCACAGTTTAAAGAGTTAAATCCTGCTTATGTTCAGCCAAATCCTCAAAAGCATACAGTGTGGTATGATGACCCTGCCTGTCATCACAGAGCTCTGCTTGTTATTCCTCTAATATCTTATGAATGTTATTCTGACATGGACTGTGAGTCAATGTGTCGAATGAAAAGGAAGTTACTGGAAAATAAATCTGAATTTCTAAGAAAAAACTGCTTAATTTTTATAAATGTTCACATAAAATAGTCCCACTTTTCTAGTCTAGTAAAACTATGCTTTATTGATTTGGAGTGATTAGGTCACATGACATTTAAGCTATTAAAAATAAAGAGTTTTAAAAAAAAAAATGTTTATAAATATATGTATTTAACATAGAAAAAACACATCCTGATTGTCTTGGTGCATCCCCAATAAATATTATTTTAATATTCTTTGAAAGTAGATCCTACATACTTTTTTTCATAAAGAGGACATTTCTGTTATATGGCCCAGAACATGTCTGAACCTTATCTCTGTTTTCAGTGTTGGCAGACAATGTTCCCCATTTTGCTGATGAAGGGGAGGGGGAAGCCTTCGACTTTGATGACAGTGGTGATGATGTCCCTGAGGCTGACCGCCCACCCCCTCCAGCTCCTCTACCCCCCAGCAGTAATGATCAGAATCAGGACATGACAGTGGTTAGTCTCCCTGAGGGGCATCTACCCAGCCCGGACCCCCCAGCACCCTCCATCACACCCCACAGAGCTCCATCATCAGAAGAAGAACCAGTTGCTGCAAGCGCATCCTCCACAGCAGGTGGAGCAGCAGCAGGAGGAGAGTGGACATCTGCTGCAGAGGGGGCTGATCACATGGAGACAGATTTACCACCACCTCCACCCCCTCCTCTTGATGATGAGGCAGAGACAGACCCTAGAAGAACAGGTTTGCATCCCAAAAGTGTTGACATGTTATTGTTGGCTCCAGCGGAGGGAGAGTATTAGCCCTTTCTCTAATACAGCTGTGTATGGAAATGAGATGACTGCAAAGTAAAACTCTGATATTTTCCAGCCGCAATCAAAAATTCCACACATTCCCCCCTTCATGTTTGTGTACACTATCTGGCTGATACCTAGCTCCTTCAGCTCAGGTTCAAGTGGTGCATTCTGTCTCTCTCTTGACACCTTGTATCTCTGGCTGCCTGCTGCTGGAGGTTGTCTGGCTTTTATCACTGAAGCAATGACAGCAGCAGCAGGCAGGGCCAGGCTCTACTCTCTCTCATGGGATGTCAACACTGCAATTATTGTTCAGCTTTTATCCTTGTAAAGCATGCATAATTGAACATGCACATACACATTCATTCCTTTGCATTTCTATCAACATGAAATCCTCCATTGGTTATTAATAACATATCCCTGGATTCTCTGGCCTCTCAAATTGACCGCTCATCGTCATCTCTTATTCCAACCTAACTGTTTACCTTAACCAGAGCTGCTTAAAAAAGGCCCATTTTGGATATGTGTGAATGCCAATGACTGTAAGCTTTGAAAAAATGTGTTGTAGTTGTTCGGTTAAGTTGTATAGGTATTGAAATTACCAAAATTCACTCGAAAATCAGCAGAAGTATTGTATGTGAGTAGATTAAATGACAGCAATACATATATGGAAATAATAAATACAAAACATAATACAATGCTAATACACTATATCCTCCTTTTTTTGAAGAGGATAATGTTGCGTTGGTAGTACTTTATAGCTGTTTACTTCAGAAGTTCAGAAAAATAATGACAGTAAAAATAATCAATAATGAAAATAATTTGGTTTTCTAGAGGTTCTTATAGAAAATTACTCTTTTTACATCTAAACGTTACATTACTGTTTTGCAATTTCTTTAAATATCAATGTGTCCGACATGGCATTTTCTAGAAATCTAATGTATCTTGTGATGTATCTCCTGTCTTCACCAGGCAGCGAAGGCCCGGACGCGTCCCTCGATGACGCTCACCCTCCAGAGGGCGTCCCCGGGTCCTCCTCTAAGGGCAAAGTCAACCCCTACTCTGTTATTGACATCAACCCTTTCCAACTGCAGCAGCTTGAGCCGCAGCAGGGACCCTCCTCTCCAGTGGAGCCCAAGGAGTGGGAAGGGGAAGTCCAGGATATCCTCAGCACCCCCGCTGGCATCACTTCAGGATACTCAGTCCCAGTGCCCTGCGGCTATGCTACGCCCTCAGGAGTCCCGCTCATCACACCGGCTTACACCACACCCGTCATCATCAGACACCTCTCCATGGACGAGGATGGTAAAGTAGAACCTGCAGCAGGGACCTTCTGAAAGTACTTAAAGGCACAGTGCACCCCAAATATTGAAATACTTGTTTTACCTTTTGGCTGTAGAGAACTTGCTTCTTTCAAATATAATGGAACTCGATGGCTTGAAGTGGTCAAGGCAAAGCAAATAAACATGTACACTACACGTACTACAAAAAGAGTTCCATCAAGGTCCATTACATTGGTGGGAAGGCAGACCTCTCCATGGCCGATATCTCTAACACTCTGTGACTCACACCACAACAATGTAGATGTAGACTGATTATTAGTATGTAAAATAGAGGAAAAATATGTAATTTCGTTTTTTTTGTGGGGAACTGTTCCTTTAATAATTATAATAATAATAGCTAATTAAGAAAGGAGGATCAGATGATGACAAATGTTTGTTTGTTTTAAACATCCACAACAACAGACAATTCTGTTGACATTAAGGCCCTGTTTATTCTTTTTAGTTTGAGTGAAATGATTCCTCTCACTGCACTAAGACCTAGATTTACAGAGCTATGACACCTAAACGCTGTCTCAGCTACTTCTGTCCTCTGCCTTTGTTTTTCCTAAAGCCTTGCCACAAGGAAGTAGGGACTACATTTAGCCCTCCCCAAAGATCTGAGTTGGCTGCGAGGATTTTTCCGGTTTCCATAAAAACTAGCAGTAGCTTCTCCAAGCCTGAGGCCTGGCATGCTGAGGAGTCTGATTACACTGTCATTATCTCACCAAGGTCACTACAGGATGAAATACTCAGTCTACTTTATTTTAGTAAAATAGTTTTTAATATCATTCTTGTTTAAAACTCTATGACCAAAGCAATCTGCGAGTCCTGGACATGATATACAAAGCAAGGACATTCTGCCAAAGTTATCACCTTTGCCATGACATGTTCTGAGAAAGTACATCGGATGTATCTTATCCTGGTGTTTAGACTTGGGTACATGTCAAAGTTAAATGTATGGAGTCACTAAATCCGGGGCAATAATGTATATTTGGAATCATCAGTGACCCCTAGTGGCATATGAACACAGTTACAACTGAGTTTCTACATCTTGGTATTGGGAGAGCATTTGGGGTTCCATGACTTATAGCAGGACACGCAGAAACATTTCAATTAAATAATGATACTTACGTTCATACTCTAATTTACATTGCAGCTTTTGTTCTTCGATTAGACAACCAAAGGTCCTAGAAACAGGGTTACATGCAAGAAAATGTAATGTGTTGTACAAGTGTTGCTTTTTGTAAAGTTTTCTGTCTTTCCTTCTTCAGTCACTGTGGTTGAGACTGGCAGCACCGCTGTTGACAGGTATGTATACAGCTGGCCTACAGCAGGGGTTTATTACATCTAAATCCTCTATCATTAGAGAGGTATGCAAAGTATGTTCCTTATGTTCAGCTGTACTCACTAACTATCAATAAATATGCATTATATCAAAATGATACGCCCAAGATAATAGTACACACAGCTTGTAGAGTTATAAGAAATGCAGCCGCTGTCAACATTTTTAAATGACAGCAGTAAACCTATATATTTAATAAGTCTTATCGTTCTTTTTTTGTGTAAGACTTACTCCTTCATTTGTATTAATCCTATTGAACTCAATGTCTATTTGCCCTTGTTGAAATGTGTTGCATTTGTATTTCATTTTTAGTATAATGCAAGAGCTACTTCTCTCTTCAAACTATACAATCGTTTGTTGAGTTGCACTTTTGTTTATTTCAATATGTTCTCAAGTGTTTTCAGTGAGGAACATCCACCTGTCAGAGAAGAGGATGCTTTGGCTAAATGGGCTTCTGATCCTGCTAACACTGCATGGATGGAAAGTGAGGAACAATTCACAACAATCGTACATCGAGCACAGATACATGCATCGTTTCCATGAATAGAACACTGCTTTCAGTTCTCTGTACTTGCTTCTCCACTCAGTGCTTGCCTTCATGGTGCTGTTAGCTTTTTTTCCCCTTCTTCTTTTGACACCATTGAATTCCCAGACTTCCTTCCCTGTTCTTTTGAGGAAGCAGACCCGTGTGTGTGTGTGTGTGTGTTTGTGTATGTGAGTGTTTGTGCTTTTCTTTTAGATCCTTTCTACATTGCATCCTGCTCGTTGTGTGAACATTTTTGTGATGTGGGAAATCATGAATTAGTGTTTTTTTGTATGCTTTAGATCCAGATGAGGTGATTTACGATGACGTGCCCAGAGAGAACTCTGACTCCAACACAGGTTTGTGAAATTCTTTAAAAAACATTTCACAAATGCAGTATTTTACTTCCTGTCTGTAGGTTTAAGTCTGTCAGCATTATTTACTTTCACTTGCAATTGTATTGAATATACATATTTGAGATATTAATTGAAGTTGCAATCCAATCAACTCACCAGTCAATACATTGATTAAATTAGCTTTTTACTACTACAGGAACCCATTATGGTATAATACAATGTTGTACATTGGGAAAAGGCTATTGCTCTGAAAATGACCACGTACATTTATCACACCTTTAACCTGCTATCAGCATTATAAGCTTTACAAAAACAGTACCGTAATTTTCGGACTATAAGGCGCACCTGAATATAAACCGCAGCAGCTAAATTGAATGATGTGTACATATATAAGCCGCACTGGACTATAAGCCGCAGGTGTTTTAATGTTTAATTACCATATGTAAGGGTTCGTGCACAGAGGGGATTGTCGGGAAAGAGATGGCTGTTTGAGGAAGCTCCCATTTATTAACATTTCAACAAACAAGTTGCATATTTGCATAACGTATTCAAGTGTTACCATTTAGTGCAATAGTAGCTACAGAACATGTACTGTGCTGTGTAAACTGTACTGTATCACATAGCGTTTCAGACACACAAACTTTTCAACTTTCAAACTTAAACGGTGCGCTCCCAGCGCACGTACCGGCAGTGATCTACAGCAGTGGTTTTCAACCAGTGGTACGGGGACAAACTGTCTCGCTCTCGTAATGTCTGTCTGTCTTGCTCTCGTTCTGTCTCTCGTACCACTCTCGGTTCCACTTTTACTTTTGCGCGCTACCTGTCTCACTCTTTTCCGGCCTCCAGCTTTTCCTGCTGGAACCCGCCGCTTAAAGTTGGGGGTCCGCGGACCGGCCATAGAGCCCATAGAGTTAAAGGTGGTGGACTGTAACCTGTAACATCCATAGATTTAGGAGGTCCCCTAGTGGCCGTTAGCTGTAACAATCCATAGATTAGCCTCACCGTTATATAAACCGCAGCGTCGAAAAATGGGAAAAAAGGCGCGGCTTATAGTCCGAAAATTACGGTAATCATTTGAAGGCTATTGTATTTGAGTGCATGACATTTAATTGTGTTATTCTACATACATCATAACACTTATGCTACTGAGCTGAGATGGAAACAGATCAATGGTTCTCTAGGCTGTGTCCTTTAGTATTTTGGGTTGAATGTTCCTGTTCTTCATACAGATCCAGATGAGATGATCTATGATGACGTGGAGTTTGGGGACGAGGGAGGGTGCGGCAGCTCCCTGGACAACGGCTGGAGCTCCAGTGAGTTTGAAAGCTACGACGAGGCCAGCGACGGGGAAGGTCGCACTGAGAACGGCTTGCCCCACGCCTTCATGAGAGGAAAGCCCCCCCAGAAGAAAACACATGTTAGTATAACAATCACAAATCAAAAAGGGTATATTTTATTTGTAAATATTTGTAATTAGTGAGGGCTTGTCTTCTTTTTCCACCCTTTACATTATCCACTAGGATGTAGATGTGATGTGTTTGTTTACATGAAGTTGTGCTTAATTCTTTTTAGGATTAAACGGTTCATTTGTGCATTTGTTATGGAATCCACAGTTCCTTTGACCCTGAAAGAGATCAATCTGGGTTAGCTTCAGCTGGCTGTACTGTAATGTTTTGTGGAATTAATAATAATTAATTGAACTGAAATAATAACTCAAATGTGTCAACATGGTCATAAGTTAATGAGATTTAATTAAATGTTGTTTGGTGTTGATAAATATTTATTACACATGAAACAACCATTGTTGAGTTTGTCTAAATGAAGGGGGGAAGCAATTGTGTGATAATGTGGTTGTGACAACTCTCAGAAACTGGCACTTACACATTATTATATTTCAATATTATATTTACTGATCTGTGATTTTGTTGGCTAGAATTAAAACTGTCATTGGCAGATCTTTTTTGTCAACTATATCTAGCTAGCTAGTAAAGCTAGCTTTTATATAAGAGGTTTAAGAACCTGTTTCCAGCTGATATTTAATATATATATTTTCCAGTATGTTGTGAAACTATATTTTGCTATTTTTCAGTGGACGCAATATATGAAAGAAAAACAGATCCCATGAACATACCCTCTGGAAAAGTACATTTCCTGGAGGAGTATGGTCAGCAGAAACCCTCGTATATCAAAATGAAAGTGAATTTGCTGTGGAGGGTGCAAGGTCCTTCCAAAACCATAACCATAATGCCTGCTTTGCTTTTGTTTAGCTCTCTGAAGATCTGACTCGTTTGAAAGATCACTATGAGAAAAAGATGAAAGATCTAATGGCAAATACAGTGGGAACGGTAGAGCTGCAGCAGTTAAAACAGAAACACGAGCAGAAGGTAAACTACCTGAGGCTCTCCTCGCCCGCCTCCGCTAGACAAAGTAGTCCCAACCCATAACTCCCAGTCTAGCTAACCCCTGTGGGCGTCTCTCAGTGACTCTGTACCTTCAGCCTGCTCTCACCTGAATGACTAGTGGTGGTGGTAATGGTGAATGGTTTGCATACAGATCATGTGCTTCCCTGTCAGAGGCAATTATCTTGTTAGATATTTATGGTGGTTGTTGTAAAGCTCAGTATATATTTGAATGTAACAGTTGTTGAAAGTACACTTAGAAAACAGATATTGAGATGTATGATTGTTATTCAAAGTAGCTGAAAACTGTTGTAACAGTATCTCTTACAATGTAGAACAAGAACATGAATGATGTATTCGGACACTTTGTTACTTTTAGATGTCCCATTTACTGTATCATCCTCAACTTCACTTTCCTGTTAACATGTATTAAACCATCTGCCTTTTATCTTCATCCCTACTTTAACACTACTCCCTTCATGTGTAGCTCATTTCAGTTCAATAGCTTTGTTTAGACCATACGTTTAGACACAGTAACTTAAACTTAACCTTGGTTTGAAATGATTCATTGTGGAGTACACTACTTTGTGTTACTTTAGCCATATAGATAACAGTGTATTTTGTCTCATCAAAGATGCAAAAGCTGGTGAAGGCAGCTAAAGAAGGGACCAAAGATGGACTGGAGAAAACCAAAGCTGCAGTGAAGAAGGGACGCTCTTTCATCAAAACCAAGTCATTCTGTCATGGTATATAATGGTCCTTCTTAAACAGAAAACTCTTCTTCTCTCGTTGTGTTAAATCAGTGTACATTTCACTATAGCATTTGCAATAATATATTTTAGGTCCTTTACTTGCTCTGTTTTCCTAATCTCTCAGAGAGGAAGTCGACCTGTTTTGAGGAGGAAGAGTCTGAACTCTTCATCGAGGTGGACTGCTTCAATGTTGAGCCAGTGCTGAGTCCAGCCCCCGAGGGTCTGTCACAGCAACAGGTAACGAAAATGCCTTTCATCTTTCATCGCAATTTGTGTAACTCTTTTCTGTGTGAATTTGCTTTTAAATAAAAACAATGCCATGGTTTGGTATTTTCTCTTTACAGCTGGTGAGAAGATGTATACTGGAATCTATATTGGAGAGTGAGAAGAACTATCTTGAAGCACTGAAAAGGATACTAGAGGTATGCATGTGTGGCTGCAGTGATGTCAAATCTACTTTGATATGTTTTTGTTTTTACATTTCATCTTGTCTGCTTTTTCAGCAATACGAGAAGCCCCTGTCAGAACTTGAGCCGAGGCTGCTGAGCGACAGGAAACTGAAGATGACCTTTTATCGTGTGCGTGAGATCCTGCAGTCCCACTTCCTGTTCCAAATTGCCCTGGCGAGCCGAGTGGCGGAGTGGGACAGCCTGGAAATGATTGGGGATGTCTTTGTTGCATCGGTAAGCCGGGGCTGTTATTCTTCAACATTTTATCCAAGATGTTCACCAATATGTTAAACATAATCGCTTGACTTCCTTGTTTTTGTACGGGAATTGAACCCTGGCATGACATCCGAGGGGCAGTTTGACCTAATGTGAAGTCTGCTCTGTGCCCTCATCACCTCACTACTGTCATGCCAAATTAAACAACAGAACTTGTACAAAAGAAACCTATTTTAAGAATATTTGCTGATATCATTTGTCTTTCAAAACTGGTACAGTATCAGTAGGTTCCTGCAATTTGTTGAAACGTTTTGTTTCTCAACAGTTCTCAAAGTCCATGGTGCTGGATGCCTACTGTGAGTTTGTGAACAACTTCAGCACTGCAATGGCAGTGGTTAGGAAGACGTGTGCCGCCAAACCTGGCTTCCTGGAATTCCTCAAGGTTTGAGAAAAACGCATTCATGTGTCAAATTGAAAACTTGAACAACATTGCAGTGTGGAAACGGTGCCATAAATATTGTTACATATCATTGTATTTGCAGAGACATCTTTTTAAATAATTGTATTGTCCATTTTACCAGAAAAGCTTTGCAGACACCGTTAAAACCATTCATAAACTGAAAATCCTGCAGCCGATAACATTGAATGCAGGACATATCGAATTGTTTCCTCATTTAAATACGTCTCAAATAAATCCACTCCTATGTACATGAATTAGCCTGGTAAATAGATATCTGTACCTTGCTAGCGTGCATATTAGCCTTATTCATCCTTCTAATCTTTAGACCGGTTCCTCACCACACATTCTAACCCATCTCCCCCTACAGCATCGCCAGGAGACCAGCAGTGACCGGATGACTTTGTACGGCCTGATGATGAAACCCATCCAGAGATTCCCACAGTTCATTCTGCTCCTTCAGGTATGATGAATTCTTATTCTATAGAGGAACTTAACCTTCTGTCAACATGTATACATTTTCTCTCATGGTCTAATAGTGTCGAAACATATTATAAAACATGAACAGCTGTCTTCCAAACTCCAAAAACTAGAGGGCTAAAACTCATGTATAGTTAAATCTAGTATTCATTCTGGAAATGCTTCATAGACAATTTATTGAAATGTCATCAATGACTCTCACTAGATGTCTGTTTCGCAACCTGAAAGCACTGCAATAGAAAACATATACAAACATCCTGTGGGTCCACAAAATCAGTTTCCTATTCATTGTCTACATCACAACTGTGAGACTTACTTCTGTGGTGTGTGGCTTTGAGAGAGAAGCTCATGTTCACAAATATTGACTGAACTTCCCCCTAGGCCATGGAAATAATATCGGCATACGTAATTAAGGCGGTGTCCTACTTTCAAGCTCCAAGCTGCAGTATACAGAAGGCAGTGTAGTATATTATTTGACAGCAGAGGGAGCTCCATACACGTTAATCAAAGCCCTTGAGAGGAGGTGAGGGAAATGCTCTTAGTGGAAATCTTCAAATCGTTTTTTATCCTGCCCTGGATTATTAGATTGTCTCTTCCAGAAAACATAAGAAAATGTAGGACACTCGGTTGCTTTCTTTAAGGAGGAACATGTTTTACAGCCGTTTTTAGACCACACAGGTTCTTAGGTCATGTCATGTGTGCTATATAGATATGTTATGGATGTGTGGGAGAGGGTATGCTTTCAATGTTGTTGGACAAGATTATTTAGATTAAGGACTTGTAAAGTAGGGTTTCTTTTCATGAAGGAAACCGTTACAAAGCACTTTGAGATGTGTGCCTTGTGTATAAGATGAGATAAGATGAACCTTTATTAATCCCTGTGGGGAAATTCAGGAGTTTAAGCAGCAACAAAGTGAGATGGAAAAACAGGACAGTACAGATTCACACAAGATTAACTCAGTTAAAGAAACAATAAAAATGATATACAGGTAAGTAACTGTTCAAATAAGAGATGTATTAAATGAACATATATACATGCAGTATTTGATTCCGGATTGTTAAATATATTTACATGTATGTGTGCCGTCAAAGTTACTGTGCAAACAACTGGGCAAGGCAAGTGTATTTATATAGCACCTTTCACCACAAGGCAATTCAAAGTGCTTTACAAAAATAATAAACATTAAGAGCATTAAGAAATAGTGCAGTGGAAACACATTATAAACACTAAAAAGCAAAGACGATAAAACATGAATAACACAGGTACATGAATACAAGTTAGGATGCAGTGTGAGACTGCAGCATGACTCCTCTGTGCTTCCTCATCAGGACATGTTGAAGAACACCCCAGTGGGCCACGCTGACCGGCTGCCCCTGCAGATGGCCCTGACTGAACTGGAGACGCTGGCAGAGAAACTCAACGAGAAGAAGAGGGAGGCCGACCAGCGCTGCGAGATCCGTCACATCGCAAAGGCCATGAACGAGCGCTACCTCAACAAGGTTTCTGTCACGGTTCGCTCTGACGTCCATTCGTATGCAGTTTTCAATGTACAGTATCATGCTGTAGCTCTGCGTTCTTGGTTCCTGAGTGGTTAGAGTTGATGATTCACTCATTGCTCAGTGTGCACACTTTTGGCGGAGCTTTGATTATTTTAGCATATGTGTGGCATTTCTCTCCGTCCCAGTGTGGGCGGCCATCAGGCAATTGAGCTTCACATTTTCTCAAGTGTTCTTTTGCCTGAATAGCGTATTTTTAGCGCATGACTTCACACACAATACCAGCTTCCCCAAAGGTGTAATTATTTGTCTCTCTGCAGCTACCCACTCTGTTATTTAGTGTGGGAGCATGTGTTTACAGGACAATCTACATTGGGCAGAGGAGTTTTGTTCCTCATGGCCTTTGATTGCTGAGAGCCACTGTTGATAGCTGCCACATACTGTAGGCTGGTATGCAAAGTGTATATGAGAGAAACATGGGAGAAGGCAGAGTGTGATAACATGAGACGAAGGTTCCTGACCAGACTGATTTGTGAGTGTTACAATACCCAGAGATAACAAGAGAAAACCATCCTGATGCAATTTATATTTGTTGTGTGAACCAATAACATGAGATGGGAGTACTCTGAGTCTCTTTATCGTTTACATGACCTTACTGAACTTGGTGTTGTTAGCTAGGTACTGAAACAAAAGAGAAAGATCAAAACTGATAACGTGACGTCACCAAGTTTGCAAAATGTATGAATAATCATGGTAACATTTGCTGTCCCTTGTATAGAGGATATTTTCTTAAACTATATTTATCATTATCCTTTAGCTTCTGAGTAACGGCAGCCGCTACCTGATCCGCTCAGACGACATGGTGGAGACGGTCTACAATGAGCGTGGTGAAATCATCAAAACGAAGGAGCGACGCCTCTTCCTGCTCAATGATGTCCTCATGTGTGCCACGCCCAATATCCGGTAAGAGTGACCACTAAACCAGACCTGTTCTTACTGTCTACCTTAATGTGCACCTTCTGCTGCTCTCCGGTCGCATTGTCCTATAATCTTTTAACCATTTTACAGAATTAGAAACGGATAGTTTATTTTCACTTCGCCTTTTGTTAGGGACTATTTAATGTAACGGGGTTTTTCTGACCATCAAATCGTACTTAAAATCCACTGAAATGAAATAAAACTCAAGTATAGAGAAATATGGTAAGTAAATAAGTGTAACCTTAGGTTGGCTTTTCCCCTCATTGGGTCGGACCCAAAATACCTTGTTATTTAGCAAAGAGTTAGGGGATTCCAATTTCTGTGCTTTTCTGCTTCTGTCCTGTAATTGTAACATGTTGTTCAGCACAAGCTACCTCTGAGTGAAATATATTTCATCTTACCTTTTGTTGGCCTTCTCTACCTCACTGATGCTATTCTTCTCCTCTTCACCATCTTTTCTTGCACTCATATTTTCCCCTCACACATTTTCAGAAGAGACATTTTTTGTCCACAAACAAGATGTTAAGAACAATATGAACCAGAGCCACTTTGTCTCATGACCTCCATCTCTTTGGGCTCTGTCCAGATGCCAGGATGGCAGCGGGAGCAGCAGTGGCAATGCCCCCCCCGACCAGAAGTTCCTCCTCAAGTGGAGCGTGCCTTTGAGCTTCGTGGACGTGCTAGAGTTTGGATCCAGCGAGGACATGGCCGATAATACCCGCTACACAACACCTCATTCTGGGGAGAAGGTGGTCATCAACGCCAAGCCAAGTATGACCCAACATTCTTTTAAATCAGCTATACTGTCTTTCTGTGGTGCTGTTTCTCTGTTAGGAAAAGTGACAGATAAGTTGAGTGAGTTTAATTAGGTGAGGTGTTAACTGTGTCAAGTAGACCATGGGGATTTTACTCTGGGATATGAGCCTACTGGCTGGTTAATTGCTTGTGTTTCATGACTAGTTGATACATTTATCTATGGTAATTTAGAGCTGCAACAGCTGACCAGCTAATCCATTGAGTCGATCAACATGAAAAATAATTGCTTACTATTTTGATTGATATGTTGATATTCATTTGAAAAGCAAAAATGGCAGAAAATGCTGTTTTTAAAGCTCTCGAATATGGAGATTTCGTGATGTTGAATAGAAAATCTTTGAATTTTGGAATGGCAAACAAGATATTTCAGGGCATCACATTGGACTTTCAGAAACTGGAGGGAATATTTTGTAGACCAACCAATTTATCCATGAATCTAAAACTAATATAATAAAAGTAAGTGTTAGTTGCAGCCCAGGGGCCGTATTCACAAAGCATTTTATCTTACCGCTAGGAGTGCTCCTAACTCGCGCTAAAACATTTTATGTAGGAGTTTTTTCTTAAAAGTTATTCACAAAGCCGCTGAGACCTACTCATACTAAGGATAAATCACTAAGAGTGAACTAAGAGTGACGCGCCGTTGCTATGGATTACGTCGATTCTCGTGCATGAGTTTAGAAGCGGTCAGTACGGTGATTGGTTGTTCAGAGCAGGCGGTCTCGGTGAAACTCATCCGCAACATCCCACAAACGAGCCCACTAAATCACCGAAAAACAAGGAAATAGCCTAGGCTAGAAATGTATTCCTATCAAATAGTTATGGACAGTGCAGTTAGCAGAATACACGCATGATGACAAGTTTGTGCAGACCACGATAATGACGTTGTATATGCACGTTAAAGAGAGAGAGCAAACAATAAAAATACGTAAATTGCATTAAATCAAGGAGGCAATTAAAAGCACCCTGCAAACTATTATCCAATGAGCATATTTCCAGCACTTAAACACTTTCAATAACAGCCCATACCGCCGTTCAAGTCCCCCTATCATGATGAATGAAAACAATCTGCGTGTTGATGGAATGTACTTTCTTTCTATTGACGAACACGTCCTCATCTTTTGATGGCGCAATTATTTTTATGTGCGTCCCATCAATAGCACCGACCACACCGGGCATACCTGCAATTGCCATGAAGTTGGCTTTGATCCTGTGTAGTTGTTGATTGTCCAAAGGAAACCGGATAAACTGTTGGATGATATGTGGTCTAGAGAGCGCGTTGATGGTTTGGTTTATGGCACGGCTGACTGATGGTTGCGATATTCCTAAATCGTCGGCATTGCAAAGGTGCATTTTCCCTGTTGCTAAATATCGTAGTGCTGCCAAACATTTTATTTCCGGACTAATCGGGTTATTCCTGTTAGTCGGGGATGTTATTGCATCCCGCACTAATTCCACAACAAGTTTGATACCCTCACGATTTAGCCTATATCTCTTGATCAATTCACAGTCTTCCATTGTCTCCAAAACATTTCGTCTCGCAGCCATTTTCAGATTCTTTGTGAATAGGTCTTACTGAGTTAGGAGTCCTCTCGAGGACTTTTAAGCTCTCCTAAACTTAGGTGCTACTTTTAGGCCTAAAATACTTTGTGAATTGCTCTTAGTGAATAAAATTAGGAGTCCTAAATGTAAGACTGACACGCCCATTATGTTTAGGAGTTTCTCCTAAATTCGCCAGTTAGGAGCTACTTTTAGCCCTAAGATCCTTTGTGAATACGGCCCCAGGACTCTATATAACCTGGATTTAAGACATTTTCTCTGGGTGTTTAAGTAAAGCTCTATCAGGGCTATAATTATCAATATTACTTGCAAAAACTGTAGTAATTTCACTACATGATTCGAATACAGAGTTAGTTGTTTCTAACCAGACATTCACAGCCATTTTTAGAAATTGTGTCAGACCCGCACTCCATCCAGTCCAGCCTGAATGTGAATTATTTCCTTCTGGGATCCTCTGGTCTGCTGGCTGCTGACTGCAATGATTTCAGTCTTTCCACTGTGTTTCCACTGTGTTTCCCCGTCACCAACAGCTGCTCAGCCACTTTAAAAAGCCAAGATCTGACTTCAATGAGACATATCCAAAGTATATATTTTAGTGGTCACAGCATTGCAGTTGTTATGCTAAGGATGTAGATTTATTTTGGGGTGTATGTGCTTGTGCCGAGGTAATGTTAGCAGTTCGCACTGCTGGGCTGGATGAGTGCTTTGGTGCTGTGTTATATCTGTCAAAGGTGGTATGCGTTCAAGCTGAGGTCAAAGGATCACTCCGTCTGTTGCCAATGCTAGTGGGCTGGAATGACTACCACGGAGAAACTCACTGCACTCTCTCTCACCATCACTCCCCTCCCTCTGCATTACAGTTACATCATGTTCAGTTTCTTGCAGCCAGTCAGATTTATCTTTTAAAAAAAACACTGTGATATTTCTTAGGTGTTTTGGCATACTGTCCACCTGCTATGTTGAATTTCCACACTTTCTCACTTTTCCGCAGCCCTAAAAAAGTTTCTCTCCTCATTTATCTGCCTTTTATTCCCTTAATTTCCACTTAAGCTACAATTGATGCACTCTCTATTGCACCCATCTCCTGCCAGGCCACCTGTCTCCCTCTGATACCTCCCTGAGCTCTATACAGATGGCACAGACAGATCTGAATAACATCTGCTCTGACTATAGGGGCTTAGGGCTGCAGAGGGCATCTTAACCCGATGTGATGATACAAGTGCATTCACACTGTCCTTATAGGTCTGAAGAAGGCCATATGGGTCATTAGATAAGGTGTTGTGGAAGTTGAATTTGATCTGAATTGATTTGGCCATAGTTCTATAAAAAGTTTCTTTGAGCAGAGTTGTTAAATATACTTGACAGAATAGCTTGCTGACCTTTATTCAGTCCCCTTACTCTGATTTTCCCCAACCAACTTTAGCCCTGTGTGTGTCTCTGGGAATATGAGTGTGCATACGAATGTGTGCAATGTCCAGGAACTTTTGACAAGTGGAAACAATTGTTTTTCTGAGTCAACCGTGTGATGCCAAAAGCAGCTTGTTGACCAGTCTGCTAGAAGACAATGAGAAGCCTCTCCAGCTCATGACGTCATCCCTCTGGTGTCTCTCTGCTTATTTAACTCTTCTCTACTCTGTATAGCAATCAGACCACCGTGCTGTAAGGTAGTCTAATTCTCCTGCTGCTTTCAGTCAGTATGTCATTTGTAGATAAATTGTTTGTTTTTAGGAAGTGTGTAATCGCTGGGATGACTGCCGTGTTTCCTCTGATACTGCTGGGTCGGTTTTGAAAGAAAAAAACTAGGGGCATTTGGCACTATCACAAAGAGCCATTCAGGAAGTTAAACGAGATGCACAGTGCCTGTTTGTCTGTGGGAATGGTCAATTTGGTAGCGTCCTATTATTTAAAGACATAATATAAGCAAAATGTGGTATAAGGGGGATAAAAGTGCACTGCAAGGCTAGTGCACGCCCCCATCATACACCGGTCACAGGGTATGGAAATAACCGTAGAATGCAGAACTTAGACTCTGTTTGATTGTTAGAACTGTTTGATGTAAACTCAAATCATGCACAGGAATATTGGAAAATATGTAGTTAAATCATGTTTCTTTTATTCAACAATGCCTATATTAACTAGTCCTAAGATAGCACTCTGTCATATGATACTGGCTATGAATGGACTGATGTAGTTGCACTTGCTCCAAGCATGACACACCATAGAGCAAACATGACAGGTTTATTCAACGTTTCTGCCCTGACCTGAATTCCACCCCCTGACTGAGACGGATGAGCCAAGCAAATTCCATACAGCTCCACTGGAGAAGGCAAATGGAAAAAAACAAACAAACATGCTGGGAGAAGTGCACTCCAACAATAAACGTTTCATTTGATCTTAAGTAAATAATCATGAACTAAAGATGAATGGTGTCTTTGACATGATCCACGATTACAAAAAGGTCATTGACCATAAAAACATCAATCAAATGCAAAACCCATTCATACTGCAGGGCTGCTGGGTTATGTGTGAGCTCATGCATATGTGCTGACACAAAATAAGTTCTGTCTCTGTGAGCAGCCACTTGTGTACAAACTCAGACGGAGACATTTCTAAGTATTTCTCCCGGAGACCACCTACAAACACGGATTTTGGATAAACAGGCATAGTGTGCCCAGTCAGCGAGATCCTCGGTAGAGCACTGGACTAGGTTGCCATGGAGTCGGAGCACCAGGCAGACTGTGACTATTGTAGAAGAAGAGGAGGAGGAGGGAAGGAGGGAATAGCAGAAGAGTAGAATGGTAGAAGCAAACAAAGTCATTTTGGTGCCAAATACTCTGATGAGGTTTAACTGTTTGTTCACCGATTTGTCACCGGAGGTTTAACTGTTTGTTCACACGCTCTTCGCTTTTCTGCTTTAATTGGAAAAAGCCCGGTGCATGTTTATTGAGACATTTGATCGATTTACCTCTATCGTTTCGCATTGACCATTTATTTCCAACTGACAGGTTTTCCCCCTGTGCTCTGAACAAGAAAGTCTTCATGATCATCTTTATGAGAGAAAGAAGTTGATAGAGGAAAAGCAGTGTTTTCATTTTGATACAAATCATCAAAACAAAGGATTATTGGGATATTTCTCAAGTGCTGAGAGGCAAATACCTAAGGTTGCAAATGGGCGGAACATTTTTCAAGGAAAGTTAAGTTAATGGTGGAGATACACATAAATAAAGAATATTAGGTCTAACTAATGGCATGTTTTGGTTTAAAGATTGCCCATTTATTTGAATTGTAACCTTGCACTGCATTCAGCAGAGCACTCCCCTATCATTTAATGGCATCCCATTACAAAGGAATTTAGAACAAGTAAAACTCTGCATGGAACGTGCACCCTCCCATTTCATGACCTGTAAGGCCCACACCACTGCCAACACTGCTGCAATTTCTGAGCCTTAAGAGATGTGAAAAGAATATATTTGATATTGCTTTTGCTTTTAAAGTTAACCAGCAGGTAGCAGACTTAAGCAGTAAAAGTACACCTTTTATAACTTTTATGTAAACCCTTCTGCTAGTTCTTGTTAGCTAGCTGTTACCATGTGGGTTGTAGTGTAATTGAGCATGCTAATGAAACAGTTTTAGTTCACTTATTTCCACTTAGTATTAAACATTCATTTTCTAAAATAGTAGCTCACTTCAAACCCTAAGTTTGCACAAAACTACATTGTAGGCTCAAATGTGCAAAGTATCTTTCCACATTAGTTAATTACTAGCTAGCTTACTCACCACATGGCAAACATTATTAGATTGTTTGAGTAAAACATTGAATTGTCTACTAATGATAACTTAGTAAAAGGTGTGTTTCTTTCTGCATGTGACATGGTTTATACTACTTTAGCAGATAACCCCTATATTTGTCTTTTAAGCCACTGAATTTCCATCAATGTCCCATTCATTTCCATGGTACGTTTCCCCTTGAATATTCCTGGACTTGTTGGACTAGACTAGATGTTGCAATTCCCCAAACAAAATGGAATATTTGTGCTGCCTCTGAAAGCTCACACTCCAGAGCACTCGGTGAGAATCACTGCCAAGTTTGCAGAGCTGTCACCGCTCCCTGTGAGTGATTGTCCTTTATGGATTTTCTCTTTTTCTCCAATTTGAAAGGCTTCTCCGACAACACTGGCCTCACCCTTTGCTGCCTGTTTATCTAACTTTCTATTCAGGTGACATCAGCTTTTGAGGTCTCAGCTTAATTTCCCTGCTACCTGGCAGCTTTGTAGGCTTTTATTATTTCTAGCTCAAATTAGAACACCCTTCTTGATTGTTGTCACTGCTATGTATGAGTGAAACATTTGTTTATGTTTTTGTGTGTGTTCTCCATAGATAAGCTGTACATGGGCCCCGGTCAGCTGTACCAAGATCTGCAGAACCTGATCCATGACCTCAGTCTGGTGAACCAGATCTCCACCATGATCAGCAGCCTCAAAGGAAACTACCAGGTACTGTATGACTGTATTGAACACAAGCTGTGAGTTGAAGTCAAATCAGTTCAACTCAACACAGCTCTATGATAATAATAACATCAACTGTATTTATATAGCACTCTTAAAAACAAAATGAGTGCTTTATGTATTAGCAAAAACATTTCAGTACTGATATGACATATTATCAGACATTACAAAAGTTGAAATGGAAGAAAATACCCAAAAGTAACAGAAGTAACCTTTTTACCTACCTCCTTTGGTCCAGGAAATTTAACAAATAAACAAGCCTTGGACCCTGGTTTGGACATTCAGGTGTTAAAAAATATGAAATATATGCAATAACATTGCATATAACATAATTGGTTAAATAATATTTCCAAAAAATATATATTCTTTATTGTGCGTTGGAGTTTTATTTAAGTGCAAATCAAAATGAAATGTCATCACATTTCATTATCAGTTTATTATATCTGAAAGGGAATACATATTAAAAGGTCAACAGAAATAAAAAACCTTATCACACATACATTTAGCTTTGTTGTGACTACTTGTTTTTGGTCATATTTCAAACGAATATGAGTTGAATAGTTATATTGTGTCTATTAATATTATTGGAAGTTTGCCAAGAGTTGACATAGACCGATGTTCCCCCAGTGAACTTCAGGATCATGTTTCCTCAGATGTGCATAAGGGCTGGGCTCTTATGAAGGCATGTAATGTTTAAACTGAGGAATGTGCCGGCGTGGGCAATTCGTCTCGGGAACACTGCGAGTCTCTTATGACTTAATTTGCAACATTCAAGCCTGTCATATCATGTGGCCACACACACAAAGATAACACACACACACACACACACACACATTTTCTGTGCTGTTGGGATAGTGTTTTAGTTTGCACAGCGCAGCATGAGTGTGTGTGAGATGTGTTTGTGCTGCAGTGGTCGGCCTGTCAGAGGCAGAGTGGGAGGCAGAGAAACAGAGAGGCTCTCAGAGACGTGTGTCCCAGAGATGGAGGGAGGGAGAGATTGATGGGGGAAAAAAGAAGCAGGACTGAGCTGTACACTGCCAAGCATGTGTCACTACATGTCCTAACGTAAAGGATGCTAACAGACAACTGTTAACATGTTTAATAAAGTGCCTTTCATACAGTTAGGAACCATGGATTGAAAGATCAAGACACATTTGTGATGGCACTGTAAAGGAAAACGTCACCCACACAATGACCATTTGTCGACCTATTACTCAGCCATTGTTCTTTTTTCAAGCCTTTCCTTCCTGTATGAGTAATTGGAGTATTCTTTTAAGGCAACATCTGCTTCCAGCATAACTGATCCCTCTACAGTTTAGCCTTAGTGTAGCCTACACTGATTTGCAAGAGAACAAGCACAATATCATTTACACACAGAAGGCCACACCTGTCATCTTCACAAGTACAGTATGTGTGTAATGTATTGCATTTCATTGCTGTGACATGTTTTTTTTATGTTAGTATCCCCAATGTAAATAACTGTAATGTTATCCTAATCCTATTCCCATTGTTGTTCCAACAATAAGCCTTCCTTTCTCTCCCACTCACTTCCCATTAATTACCCTCTTTCTCCTTCTCATTCCCTCATCTCTGTTTTCCTCCTGTGTACAGAATGTAAACCCCACAGTGGCCCATGATTGGGTGTCAGGTCTCCAGAGGCTGATACTGAAGAAGGAGGAGGAGATCAGAGCAGCTGACCGTTGTAGGATCCAACTCCAGCTGCCCGGAAAACATGACAAGTTCGTTTTCTACACACACGCACACATATACACAACTCTTACATTTGAACAGTCTCCAAAATCGTCTTGTTTTTCCTTGATTTGACCACAATCCCCTTTCATCCTTCTGAATGCCTTCCAGCTGCCCTGTGTGCCCATAGCTTTATGAGTATTAGAGCACATTTGAATATGTGGATAAACAAGCTTCTCCACCAGCTCTAATCTGAGTCGTTAATCTCAGGGGAGGAAATGTGCATCAGTGTTTTTAAACCAATACTTGGATACTCAGCGCTGCAGCTGGTTCTGACCATGTCACACATTTACACACACTATTATAGTCTGGAAGTGTTCCCTTATGAGTACATCCTTCATTGGCATTTTCACACACTCTTTCTTTTCTTAATTTCCGCTCTCCATCCCTCATCCCTGCTGCATTTAGCTGCTGAGATTATCCTCGGGTATGTTTGGAAACACAGCTGTGCCTCACTCATTCCTCCCCTGATCTCTCAAATCTCAAAACACACACAACACTTCTCAGCACCAGTCAGTGGCAGTAGAGATGCATATCTGACACACACACAAACACACACACACACATGATGTCCACATGAGCTGCTGATAGGAGCGATAATTGACACTGATGTGTATCACATGTGTGTCACAGTAGGTCTAGTCAATCAGTATTGAATGGACAGAATCATTTTCCCCCTTGGCTGGTATTCAACCCAGATAGAGCCCTTTCATTTGTTCATTATGGATATTTTTCTGTAACAGATACTAAGCACTGTACTGGTGTATATGTTTAGATATTCAGAAATTAACATTACATTACATGTCACTTGTTAGATGCCATGACCACCTAAAGACATATTTAAGCAAAGAAGGCCCTTTGGTTGCTAAAGAGTAGACACATATTGCACTAAATTCATCATTTAGTATCATTTTGTTAAAGCATCTGTCATGTTTGGTTTAAAAACAATGTCTGGTTAATGAAAGTACCGTAATTTTCGGACTATAAGGCGCTCCTGAATATAAACCGCAGCAGCTAAATTGAATGATGTGTACATATATAAGCCGCACTGGACTATAAGCCGCAGGTGTTTTAATGTTTAATTACCATATGTAAGGGTTCGTGCACAGAGGGGATTGTCGGGAAAGAGATGGCTGTTTGAGGAAGCTCCCATTTATTAACATTTCAACAAACAAGTTTTATATATTTGCGTAACGTATTCAAGTGTTACCATTTAGTCAGTGCTTAATTTGTAAATCATAAGGTGCCGGAACGCAAAGTACATATGACAGCTCAGGGATGACGAGACGCGTACAGGTCCCGGAACGTATACAGAAAAGGTGCTGAAAACAACATGAAAATGTCCACTTGCAACGCTGTGGGACTTACAAGCCTCAATTTCAAATAGTATCCATGGTATAAATGTTATGACGATAATTTATAATTTTTTAGGCTAGTACGCACAACATAGGCAAATGCCCACATCACCACAGTTGGGACTTCAGTATACAGCCAGCAATTAATTTCTCAACAGGTTTAACGTGTAAAAAAAATATTTATTAGGCCTATTCAAAGATTGGCACGGCGGCCTATTAATAGACAGTATGTTTGCTCACCATATTTAGTTGTTTAAAACACCCCACATCACGAGCATGTCCGGATTGTCCTCTATCTCTTTTTTTCTGCTTTTAATGCGTGTGTCTGTGGCAGTTCTGTGNGGAATTAATGTACTGTATGCATTCAAAAGTGCTGAATAAATGTTTTATGGACCCATAATAGTGATTATTATTTAAGTTAAGTTTTGCCATAATCATGTCTTTTTAGACATGATTATGGCAAAACTTAACTTAAATAATAATCACTATTATGGGTCCATAAAACATTTATTCAGCACTTTTGAATGCATACAGTACATTAATTCCAAGTCAAGTGCATTTTCTTTTCTCTGTAGGATAACTACAACAAAGTGCATTCAGAACAAAGCCAAGGTGCTTTAAAACTGCATAAACATCTAGGCCAGTAGGCCTACAACAAAATAGTGTAAATAAAGACTGTAACAGCCAGGCCTTCAACAACAACAAATGCACCTATAAGTTTGGTAACCTAACGTGTTGACAAGCACGGCGCGCGACCATGCTCGCGGCTGGCTCACAGCCAACATGTCTGCCGCTTGGAGATATTTAAAAATATCAGAGAGAGAGACGCGGATTGCGATTTGTAAAACGTGTTCAGCTGACATTTCTCGAGGGGGTGTAACTGCAAAGACTTTCACCACTTCGGGATTACTCCACCACTTGAAATCAAAACACCCGGATAAATATGCGGAGTATGATCAACGTAACCCTGTTCTCTGACATTCGGTGATATTTTATTTTTTCGGTGCTAAAACCCTTTCGGCCAAAAGGGCCTTTTTAACCATTTTCGGCCGATAATTTTCGGTGGCCGAATATTCGGGGCATCCCTAAAAAGAACACAATGGTGCTCTAGGAGGAGATTTAGGTGAAAAGGTGGCTGGTGTTAACTTGGTGGCTAACGGTTACACAAGCCAAAAAATCGTTATGACATGACATCATAAAGTGGACAAAATCCGATCAGCTCATTTCAGACAGGTTTTTATATAAATGGATCAGGACAAAAATAATCTCTTTACACAGAGGGGACACATGTTTATGTATAAAAGACATGAAAAAGTGGATTTTGCATAATAGGTGACCTTTAAAGAATATATTTGCCGCTTTATTTAATTTTATACGTTTGTATAAGTGCAGTATAGTGCATACATTTACCTATTATTTTAGTCATCAAGTTTTAGGACTATAAAATCCAGCCTGTAAAAACATTCAACACCTATCAATCTCCTGAAAACTTGAGTATATCCTGTAAAAATGAAAAAGTGAAAAAAATTCCCAGTCATTCAGAGGAGTTTAGTATTAATCGTAAATATAATCTCTGGTATTTGATATAATTATTTATAAATACTGAGTTATAAAGCTTCAAATCATATTGAAACTACCGCACACCCCAACGCCTCCTGTTAGTCATAAGCCTGACAGACTGATGCTGCCGATATTCTATTCATTATATCAAACTACAATTAATAAATACCAAAACCTCCAATGCATTATTCTGTCTCTTGACACTTGTGCTTTTTCCTACTTTGTGTGTCACCAACATAACATCTCTCAAAGAAAGTAATTACAAAAAAAGGTTGAATAATTTCCTTAAACTGCAGGGCAATCTTTTTTAGGTCACTGTACTCAATCAGGAATATATAGTGAATTGAATTGGGAATATGTTCAGCAGTTGAGTAATACACATTTAAATCTTTAGTTAGAATTTTTGAAAGCACAATGGTGTATGTGGCTCCAAAAGCTGCACCACATGGTACCCAATTTGGCCCGCTGGTGATTTTTTTCAAGTATTATATCATTTCTTTAAAAGTTTTTGGACATCAATAGAGCTTCACGGCATGGAGATTTGTGTTGTATCAGACTTTGGATACAAAGACTCTACTTTCTTTTCATGGGATTTCTTAGTAAAATAAAACGTGATTTTATTATCAGACTTGTCTTTCAAACATCTGCCATACAACCTCCTGATTGATCGTAGAGATTCCTTTCAACACAACATCTTAATATCAGTATATGGCAGAAACATCATCCAGGCACCTAATATTCTACCCATTTGTCATATGACAACAAGCTGATAAAGTACTCTCCAATGTTATTAGCAATTCATTTTATTGCTTAATTAACTTACTTTTATTACTTAACGACATCATTAGTATATGTGTAGGCTAATATATTACAGTGATTATGATGGCACATTAGGCAGCAACACCATTTGTTTCACAGCTTGATAAAAAGTAGCTTGTTGCTAAATATGGAAAATGTATGGAAATCTGCTGATCAGCTTATTGATCCAAGCTGAGTCAGTACTCTGTTTCAGATGTTTCAACTTAAAGTGAGGGAAAGGTTGAACATGTGGGCACAGTTTAAAAATCTCTGATATACTGTATTCTTGTAGAATAAGTGGATATCAGAGAACATTAAAGCCTCTGTGACATGAGACACTCAGACATGAACAACGGAAAAGAACCAAAGAACTTGTGTGGAGGTTCCTGTTTGAAAGTCTTTAAGGAAGCTTGACAACTTTCATCTTCTTATTCTGTCAATTTCATGTCAGAAAGAAAGGGGATTACTTTCTTTCAAGTGTAAATGAGAATCTGGACTTAATCCATGGAGAAATGGACTTGAGGAATGGGTCATGAACGCCTTCTAAGCTTTGACGTGTCTTCTTTTTAAGGCTTTTAGAGAAAAGCTTACTCAGTGTGGTTACAAGCTGAAAAATCTGAAGCACAAGCCTCATTGAGTGTGTTTTGATCAAAGCTGCGAGTCTGCCAGATAACTTGAAGCTAAGAACAGCAGAAATAAAGAGCTGTACAGGAAGAACAGTTAGTCATGCTGCAGGTTAAGTTATGGGTTATTGTTTTCCTTGAGAAAGAGGTAAACCATGTTGAACTCAGTGTTTCTGTTTCTGTCTAACAAATGCTTACATCACACAAAGCAATTAAGAATGTCCTTATGAGACCCAAAGGTGATCTATTTTGGGGTGTAATGAGCTGCGCCCCACACGTAGGCTCCCAAATGTTCCGGTGTAAAATTTATAGCATTTCAGCCTAATTACGTTGTAGCTTGTTTGCAACGCCTTTTAGAAACAGCACCTTGTATAATAATAATAATAAAACCCTAGGCTTCAATTCACACTCGCAACACCTTTTGCCCTCTTTTTTAACCATGTTTTGTTTTAGTTTTTTAAATAGCTAGAGACGTCTGGTCTATGAGTGTTCCGCTCCGGGGGCTTAATGACTCATGCTGCTGTCCATTCACAAAATGTACTTCTGGTTGATGAAGAGATGCATTAGAGTAGAACAAGGAGGATGGGGCACGGAGAAATCTGTGGGAGGGAGAGAGGGTTTGTGTGTATGTGTAATAGAGAGCGACGATAAATCAGGGAGCGAGGAGGGTTCAAAGGAGGAAAGAGATGACCCATGCAGGGGGCATGATTCAGCAGGAGGACCAAAATAGAGCCATTATTAGCCAGTCGGTCGTGCAAAGGGGAGTCATAATTCTTGCTCGCATCTAGGCAGCGCAGTATTA